CAAAACAATCCCCATTTCTAAATATTCACTTAAATATTAAATTGAACATGCCAAGCCAGTAGTTTGCAGTAAACACTTTGTGCCTAAGCACAAACAGTGGGGAAAATTAGTATTGGACACATGTTTTTATGATTTTATATTTCTAAAGGAGCTGTTCACATGGAATTGAACCAGATTTTGGTAAAACCCTTAAAATTAATTTATTCATTCATTTTCTTTTCGGCTTAGTCCCTTTATTAATTTGGGGTCGCCAGAGTGTAATGAACCACCAACTTATCCAGCATATGTTTTACACAGCGGATGCCCTTCCAGCTGCAACCCATCACTGGGAAACATCCATACACTCATTCACACACATACACTAAGAACAATTTAAGCTTACCCAATTCACCTATACCACATGTCTTTAATTTTGCTGATGGCAGCTTGAAGACCCCAATCATATGGAGAACGAAGTTACATGCATTGCTCAGGTGTGAGTTTTTCAGACTTCAAGAAAAGTAAAAAAATCGTGATGGTTTTGTGGCGCTCGTCTATCAAATCTAATCTTTATTTTTTATTATTGAATGGAAGTCATGTGATTTTCTCAGCCATTCTACAGCTGGATTTTCTTTCTCTGAAAGCATTTAGGAGTCTTGCTGAAACGTCCACCCTGGTTTCATCTTCATCATCCTGCTAATGTAGATGTTGGACTGAAGCAGCTAATATTCATTTACAATGACGAAGGGCAGAGGGTTGCTAAAGAACTACTCAGAGATTTCAGCTGCTGTCTGCGCTTTCACTGGCTTTCTACAGCTCCCTTTCTTCATGTGTTCAATATTTTTTCTTGTGTCTTTTTATTTTATTACACATGACTTAGTTTGTAAACTAATTCGATTTGTTTTCTTTGCATATATGGATTTCTTTGATTTGTCAACAGCACCTTTAGAATTTTTTTTTGAGAAAATTGGTGATGTGTTCAATACTAATTTTTCCAGCTGTAAATGGTTTTAAGTAGACTGCCATGGTTTTTTGTGTTGTCATGAACTTGACATTCTTTTAAACTGAAAGTTTTATATCACTTTTAAAAAAATTTAAACCTATTTTCAAAAAACGTGAATTTTCAGGCTTCCAAAATGCAGTTGAAAGTCAAAACAGTTGGGACAAAAACTGTTGCAAAATATGACAGTAAGCTACTTTACACACTAGATTTGTTATACGATCAAAATCCAAACCTTTAACATGTCTGGGTGTGACTTTCCTCGCCGTTTTCAGTTTCCACTCTGGAGATTTTGTCTTTTGTCATCTAATTGCTCTTCTTTCTCTGGTCTGAGTGGAAAGCACAAAAGAGCTCTTTAGAGAAATATTGCCACCCTGTGAACAGTCGGTAAAGCACAGGTTACAAAAAAAGAAAGCACACAAATCTTAACAGGTCAATCCAAGCCTTCTGGGTACAAAACAACAGATCATTTTCCAACCCTGTTTTGTTGATGCTTAATTAGTACAGAATGGATAAAAGCAGGGTTGGGACTTTTTGAAACATGTCAGTTTCTTCTGAAGAGCTGTTAAGAAATGCGATGAAACTCTATATACGTATATCTAAGCAAGGGCAGGCCTGGATGCACTGGAATCAGAACGAGCGCTGTTTTGATTCAAATGAATGTTTTGGTTTCTCTGAAGTGGCTGATGAAACAGGCTTTGATAATCTTGTGAACTCAATATGTCACAGTTGAGCGGAGACAATGCAAGACATGCCAGCAGAGGGATAATTGAAAGCTTAAATTAAGGCTCATCATCTAATAGAGGCAACGAGATGAAGAAATGCTGATACAATTATACCGTTTATCATGAAAACAAGCCAACGGCACAAACAAATCCAGTCAAGGATGGAAAAAGTACAAATCTAAAACACAGGTTCAAACATACACATTTGACACTATGTAATTTGTACATGTGCTTCGGCCTGTTTGTGTCACGTGATTGAAAAACAAGCCTATTTATATACCTCTTTCCATTCATCTCCTCAAATCTGCTTTAATTGAAAGCTTGCTATGAGTAACTTTGGAGCCTGGTCTTGTTGCAACATGTCACACAGCCTTTAGCAAAGGAAACCCGTGCCATGATCTCCATCCATCAAATCGGGCTGATCTACAGTTAAAAAGCTGACAGTGAAACATATGAATGAAATGAAGCGTACAGGCCAATCCTTGTCATAATAGCAAACACATGCGACCTCCTGGCGAGAGCTTTTATTACCACGTTGATAAAAGGAGAGAACAGCCAGGAGGCAGAACTCCCACAGACTTTATTGTCTTATAGTGAGGAAGTATTAGGAGCAAAACAAAATGAATAGGACACACAGAAAAAGGGTGGAAATACTGAATATGGTCCCATAAGTCCATGAGGTCCTTAACAAAGCTGGAGCACATTAAAGTTCTCTGTATGAATTAAAAAAGGTCATTATGAATGTATGACAATTAGAATATTAATATAAATTAGAATTTAACTTTACCTTTATCTTGGTTTTCCTGCACAAATCAATGAAAGGTGAAATGAAATTAAATAAAAGTTTGCACCTGAGTTGAGGATGAAATAAACATTTTATAATTTATTTTAATTTATTATTTGATTATTTATTATCATAATTGAAAAAAGGGGCTGACAGGCTTGCTGAAAAAAAACTGCTTAAACCAGCCTAGGCTGGTTGGTTGGTTTTAGCTAGTCAACCGGTTTTAGAGGAATTTTGGCCATTCCAGGTTGGTTTCCAGCCCTTTCTAGCCTGGTTTTAGCTGGTCAGGCTGGGAGATGAACAGCTAAAACCCCCTTGATTAGCCTAGCCGGGGTGGGAGCCCGGCCAAAATCAGATATGTCCGGCTTAAACCAGGCTCGTCAAGCTGGTTTTAGCTAGTCATTTTATAGCCTGTCCTGCTACGACCAGGCTGTAACTGTCTGGAACCCAGCCTGAAAAGTTGAGGTAAAGTTTGTTTTATATTCACACGCCCAGACTTTCTCCTTAATAATATCATTTCAGAAAAAAATATATATATTTTTTTGCTTATTCAAAATAGTGGAATCATATCAGCATGCAATGCCTATCAAAGTACAACATTGTTCACAGTCAAATAAATTGTGCTAATGTTGTTTTGATGTCATACTTCCATGTGATTTCAGACTAAATATTTAAAGTACCATGGTAAACAATACAGGAAACGTCACAAGTTGTCACTGATCGAATGTGTGAATGTAAAATCAAGTTTACCTCAATGCCTGAAAACCACTCTAAAAACCCCTCTAAAAGCGGGCTAGTCGACCAGCTAAAATCAGCCAAAAAGCGTAGTCTGGTTTAAGCTGGGGTTTTTTTCAGCAGGGAGACATTTTTGTAGCTACTTTGTGATTTGATTGTATATGAAAACACAGAAATTAATATTAACCTCTGCATAAACTTTTTGACATTTTTGATATTTACTGTCATCCTTTGCACTTGAGTCACACTAAGAGCTGAATAAATATCATGATGCATAACATGCATTAAACAGTAATATTTAGCAGTCTACCAGCAGTCAGCAGTGTACATGTCTGTTACAAACATACATGGCAAATTTCACAATATACACATTAAACAAAAACTAGATAAAGTTAACAAACCTTATACCTATTTGGGGTGTGCTGGATACCTTTATAATTCGTCTTTCCAGAAATTTGTGCTCTGATAATGACCTCTGAGAAGAGATGCTCTGTGCCTGGCTGAGAGCTGCTGCGATCTCATTTCCAAAATAAGAGTCCCACTCATTCATTTATTCATTCATTCATTCATTCATGTTTCTTGTCCGATCTGAGACCCACTTCATATTGTATATCTAACAGGCAGTGAAGATTGCTGATTTTAAAAGAAATCAAATCTTAAACGTAATAATTTTGTAAAAGCCACAGGGCTGCCTGGCTGAAAATTAGTCTGTGTGCATATAGCCCATTGCCCTGCTTTTCACAGGGATTTTGCACTCAACGGATGTACCTGAGGAATGAATGTCAAGGTATGGTATATCTATGTAGTGAACTCTTATTGTTCTGCTATGGCTGGGTATGCCCAGATGTTCATTCTATGGCATCTTTAGGGCCTACTCACACTATGCCATTCGTACCGTGCCCAGGCCCATTTCCCGGATCGTTTGAGAAGTGTGAGTGTGCTGAATCGGGCTCAAACACGGTTCACTTGGCCGGCCCTGGCCCGGTTGGAAGAGGTGTGCCTGAGCGCGGTTCACTTGGGCTTTGGCACGGTACGCTTGTGTGTGAATGCAAAACGCGCCAAAGCCCAAAACTGAAAGCGAGACGTGACTTTTTAGGGACTGTTTCATATGGATTTATTAATCATTCTTACTGTTCAGTGAACGCAAACTGCCGTAGATTATTAAAGACGAGAACTCCTCACAGCACAACAGCTGCACGGCTTCAGCAGACCTCCTCATTCCTGCAGCACGAGAGCTTTATGATTGTTTATGAGCGGCAAAAGTGGCGGATCTGTTCGGCGAAACTGCATGTCACCGCATCCCTAAGGACTGTTTGGCGAAATATTTGACTGCATGTCACTGCTTATCAAACGACTGAAACGATATAACTAGAGAAATCTCCTCTGTGCTGCTGAATGAGAGCGAGTGAGAGCGCTTCTCACTGAACAGCGCAGCATCGATGACGTAAGCGTGCCGAGTCTCATTTGTGGTGTGAGTGCGGGCCGTCGGGGGGGACGGTAGGATGGTGGACAAGCGTGCTTTGGCCCGGTTCGAAGCAACTGTACCTAATGTGAGTACGGCTTTAGAATAAAACCTTAAAAACCAAATAAACAATGGAAACAATAATCAAATTATGGTAAACATGTCCATAAGCTATAAAAATAGCAGGGTTTTGTTTCATGCAGAAATTTTTTAACAGTTTTTGCTGTGATCATTTTTATAAATAAGAATTGGTGTATGAGTGAAATGAATATTTATGATAGTATGATTTCATAGATTGCTAGCTGACTACTTTTGTTTTTTACACAATTCTGGTTCAAACTGTAAGATGTGTGTTACAGTTAATCTGTCTTTATTTTCTCTTGTCAACAAAACAATTAGACCCGTTCAGACTTATAATCTGGTGTGACTTGTTTTCTGAAAAATTTGCTATGCACTAGTTAATGTGAGTGTTCTGAAGAGACATACTCACTTTTTATGAAATGAAGAAATGTAACTTTTGTAAACCAAAATTCCCATGTAAGAACATAAACAGGAGCTCAACCAAACCTGCTTTACATGAGAAAACAAATTGTATTGGTTGTATAGGAAACCTAAATACAAACCTTTAAATATAAAAAAATACAAGAATGAATCTCATTGGTTCTCACTCCTCAAGCAAGCATAGTTGTAACCAAATATGACTGCTGTAAACGCTGTTTGCTTAAATTTGGATTTAAGGCAAAACAGACAGAAGTTTGAGTATTTGTATGGTTTCGCAGAATAGAGTTCAGTTTTAATTTTAATAAATGTATTTATTACCACTTTAATAGTACATTTTTTTCTATGTTTCATAACAATTTTATTAAAGTTACGATTTGTTGGAGACATTTTATTTAGGGTTACCAGGCAGCCTCTTTTACATTATTCTTATTTAAACAGTAAAATGCAACTTAATATGTGTTTTTCACCTCTCGAAAATGCAATCTGACCCTTTGCGACTTATAACCGGGTGTGACTTGTTTTCAGGAAAAATATGCTAGTTTCAAAACACTGCAAATGGAGTTCTCGGGTATCCTTAAAAGCTGATATTATGGTTAACAGTGTTATTATGCTCTCCACAAAACCACCAAAAATGTGAACTGGTGTATTAGAGGAACTCAGGAGGAATCCACAAAGGAACAGTGTCATATCATGTTGACCTTTTATAATCATCAAAACATTTTTAAAAGGCACTAGTTATATGGTTATACGTCATACTGTAATCCAGTATCATAATTGCTTTGGGACCACAAACCTTTTAGATGACTACGAAATATAGTATGTACATGTGATAGAAATGTTTTTCCTTTTCAGTGAACACTGTAAAGAGAACAAACAAACAAGATCAAAGAATATATGCCCATATTAGCCAAAACTGACTGATATGAAAAAGAGGGAATCAGACCAGCCTAACAGCCTCTTGGCAAAAGGAAGTAACTCGTGATTTCTTGTTAATCAGGTGACCCTTAAGATTCAGTAGACTCAAACCATCCATCTTCAATATCGGTCCATGGTCTCAGAGATCCTCACAGCAGATCTTGGCCCACACCATGCAGTCAGGTCACAAATGACAGTCCTAAATTGATGTGAAAACAATCAGCCATTAATTATAAAGATCACAGTTTATAGAACAAATTTGAAAAATGAAGCAAAACATAATAAAGAAAGAACAGCATACTGTACTCCCAGTTTAATGTATGAAATATACTGTACTTACACTTTTATGCTCATAGCAGTGCTTATTTCTTTTTCCCTCCTAATGACAGGCTTTCTGTTTTTTTCTTCTGTGCCTTATTGAGCAAAAAACACACCTTAATGTTAGCAAGAGCTTAGCACAGAATTCTGTCATCATTTACTCACCCTCATGTAAAAAACAGAAACATGAAGATACTTTGAATCATATTTCATTTTTATTATTTCTGTCCCCTTTGAAAAAGGTTTCTTCATCAGAAATAGTTTCAAACAGATATAAAAATAATACTCATATGAAACAAGTAGTTTAATGAAAGTCTTCTGAAGAGACATGATCTGTTTATGTGATGAATCAGGATTAGGAATTAGGATTATTATAATAATTTAGGTTTTCATTCACATGTAAACACCGATGAGTGAACATAAACAGGAGCTCAACCAAACCTGCCTGAAGAGTGAAAACAAACCTTATTGGTTATTGGGAAACGTAAATGTACCACAACATACAAGAAGGAATCTCATTGGTTCTCACTCATCAATTTAGCATAGTTGTGCTTCCCAGGCCAAATCTGAACACTGTAAATGACGTAAATTAAGAGTAAACCACACGATTCCAATTAATCCATGTTTAACAACACTTTTATTCAGCAAGCATACTTTAAAATGATTTAATAAAAGACATTGCTAATTTAAAAAATGTGTGCATCTTGAAAAAAAAATCATCAACATTTTAAATAAGTATTTAAAAAGAGGATATTAGAATTTCTGAAGAGTCATGTGATACTACAGACAGGAGTAACTACTGCTGAAAATGAAAGGTGAAGCATGAAGAATTGAATATTTATTGAGGTTTAAGTTCAAAATATTGAACGGGGCTGGCTAGCATATATTGAGGAAGCCTTCATGACTGCAATAAAATGCATTGCATTTTACACTAAAATTTACACAGGTGTCAAATCCAGTTTCCGGAAGGTCGCAGCCCTGCACAGTTTAGTTCTAACTCTGCTTCAACACACTTGCCTGTAGGTTTCAAACCAGTTGAAGGACTCAATTAGTTTGATCAGGTGTGTTTAACTAGGGTTAAAGCTAAACTGTGCAAAGCTGTGGCCCTCTAGAAACTGGATTTGACACCTGTGGACTAATGGGCTCTATACACACCTAGAGTTTTAAAGCCAAAGAAAAACTTTCGATGAAAGCGTAATGTGACTTCAATTTCACAAGGTAGTTTTTACAGGATCGATGTTGTAATGTAATTACAATACATTCAGTTAAAGAGACTTTAGCATTCATCTAGCATTCATTCATTTATTCTTTTTAAGCGTAAAACGAGACAAAAGACCGTTCTAACCACTAGCGCCGTCAATAGCAACAGGCTAGTGCAGAAATACCATTGAAAATACTAGGGTAAAATAAACTGTCATACTTTAAAGACGTTTTGGGGGGAAATGGAATTTAATGAAGTGCTTCTAGTCTGATCTGAGACCCGCTTTATACTGTATATCTAACAGGCAGTGAAGATCGCAAATTTTTAAAGAAATCAAATCTTAAACGTGACAATTTTGTAATGGTAAGACAGTTCACTGGAAGCCTTTGGGCTGCCTGGTTGAAAAACAAAAAGTCTGTGTGCATATAGCTTATTCAAAGGCAGACATTCTTTCACAAAACATACCTTTTCAAAGGATAATAACTGGTTTAGCATTTCTTTTAGAAAAACAAGTATGTTCACTTAGCATGTTTCTTAAATATCTGCAACCATATTGTAGTATTTGGATGATTTAGAAGAGTCAAAAACTTACTTTTTAACCCTCAAGCTTCCCTTTAGGAAATTTCTGTCCAAAATCACTTTATTTAGATTTTTTTAAATTCTTTTATTGTATTTAAATACATTTTTAAAAATAACTGCGTAATCTGAAAAGTTCAAGACTTTTTCAACTTTTTTAAGTTTGCCAACTGAACACAAAAAAGAGGACTTGATTAAACCTTTTAAATCCACCTCCATAATTTTGTCCCAGGAAATGAATGAGGAATACAAAATACTAAATTGTAGGTAAAATGACAAACGTACAATAAAAAAAAAAGTTGTACATTTAGAGATAAATAAATTTTAAAAAGGCATAAATTGCTAGATTTATTTTATTTACAATTTGTTTGAAAAAAAAAATGGGTTCACACTTGAGACCTTTGTGCCCAAAAATGTCCACAAGGGAAAAATTAAGGGTTGCAGTATAAGCTATGCTTGAGGCTTAAGCTGTAGCATGCATACATCTTTTATGACTTGAAGCTGTGGACTGTTTACCTCGGTCATGGCATCATCGATTTGCTTCAGCTCCTCATAGTGGTCACGCGAATCTCTGAGAGGCTGCACCATAATCTCTTCAATCTGAGGAAAGAGCTGAAAGGGAAAAAAATACATATGGCATTTCACACAACAAATGGTGGGTGAGTGAATGATCACAGAACTTAAAATGTTGGGCAAGCTCTACTTTACACGGATGATTTATTCCACCTACCTTCATGACCGTTTCAAACATAGGGATGAGGACAAATTTAATGAAGCCGATCTGTGCTGTGGGCTTAGTGACTTTCTCTCTGTCCATGAAGGCAGCAACAGGAAGCCCCTCAGATTTCTCTCTATCGCTCTGAACAAACGCGAGACAGCGTAAACAACCCCAGCTGTCAATGCAGAGCAATTACAACAAAAGATAAAGAGTCAGCAGACCTGCATGAAGTATTCCTCCAGCAGACAGTCCACCCACGGCTCGGCCACCTCCGTCGGCCGCACTTCATTGGAAATGTCACAGCATTTGATAAGGACCATCTTCAGCTGAACACATGACAGACAGCAAACCTTTACTTGTCAAACTGCCAACTAATATTGATCTGTCGCAGCTGAGGAAACATCTAGTGGTACTGTAGCAGGACTAGACTGGTCTTTGACAACTGGAAGCAATCTAAACAGGTCAAATTTGGCCAAAAACTAACCAGATAAAGATCAGCAGACCCTCATAGATTAGATGAGATGTGTTTTTGGTGTGTAACATACGCAAGCCACATGTTCCTCATTGGTGAAGTCAAAATGGTCCACTTTGTGCTTGAACGAGTCCAGAATCTCACCATGTCGGGCCATGTCTGTGGCCAGAATCAGCGTGATGATTGCCTGCAAATGCAATTGTTGCATAGTGTTGCATCAGTTTTCGAAACAGACAATCTATTGACCAAACATGCATGAGTATGAGCAAAGTGGCATTGATGAGAAAAGCATGATCTGTATTATTAAACAGTCCTTCCATGATTTTGCATTTTTTTATGTGTGGCCAAAAAAGAAACGGCTTCTCTGAAATTTTATGGAGTTATTGTTTTATTTTCTCATGTTTTGCAATTAAAAAACCTTACATAAACCCTTTTTAATTTGATCTCAAGAAGAATTGGACTCCAGTGGTGTAAAGAAATGAATTATAAATACTTAAATTACTGTAATCTTTCAGGACTTAAGAACTCACTGCACTTTACTTAGCAGGTTAAAATTGTGTATTTCTACTTTTACTTCAGTACATTTATAGTGCTGTATATGTACTTTTACTTTCTTCAACCTAGACTCACTCCTTTATATGTTTATTTTTACTTGTCTACAGTAATTGGTCAAGTAGAATAAGCAGTCTTGTGATTCCCGTCCAGTCAAATCACACATGAAAAAATCCCATAACAGACAAGGAGACTTTAAATATGCAGTGTGTGAGCTGTAAAAGTGCCCAAAGAAGACATAAAATCATTACTGAGAGACAGAGAAACTGTTTAATAATATTAATAATAATAATAATAATAATAATAAGAAGAAGAAGTCCTTACATTTATATAATGAGAAGATATAGAATGCCTACTGTATGATGACTGATATCACAAAATGGCCTTAAACAATGCACTACAGAATGTTACGCTTTCAAATGCATACAGAAATTTTATGTATTCTATAAGTTCTGTAAGAGCCTGGTTTGCGGTGACAACTGCTAGACACAGATAGTTACAAAGTACATAATATGCATTAACATATTGCCACAGTAATTTTTTGCCCCTTTTTTTAAGTGTTTAGGTTACACCGATTTTGCTCTGCATGTAAATGCATCAACCTGCTTTCTGTCAGCTTGTTATAAGTGTATATTACTGTGATGTGTTCTCCCCTTAAATTAATCTCACATGAATGGCAAATTATTTATCTTGCACTTACAAACACCCTTGAAAGAAACTGGCTCTCAAGTAAGTTAAGTTTTGAATTGGTAGGTCATAAGGTGGAATGATTTTTACAGCACAACTCTTGAGTACTTTTACTCTTGACATTTACTCACACTTTAAATAGTATTTAGAACAGATCATTTTAATCTATTTGTACAAAAACAAATTGAAGCTAGAGTACATTTTCTTGAGTACATTTTCCACTCACAAAATCTAGCAGGGACTGATTGTAGCTCAGCCAATGAAGCATTTACATACGTACTTCGTTCTAAAAACATTTACAGAAATAAAATTTTTTTGCTAAAAGATGACCGATTCTGCATGAAAGGTAATTTTGTAGGTAATGTAGAACAAATCTAATATCATTTAGTTCATGTTGATTATATGTGTTTACTTTTGGGTAGGGGAGTTCTTGCAATTCCTGAAAAGTCATATAGTGCAATGTTGACATTGGTTGGCATCTGCTGGTGCATTGTAAATTTGCCTTTACACTGTAGCTTAAAAGTTGTGCAGTACCTGCCGAATCTGTTTGAAGGCCTCCGGCTCCACATTGGCAAATATATTACACTCTGGCAGAGAGAGTATCTGGAAGGCTACAGCGCAGTGGTGATTCTCCAGAGGCGAGATGTCATTATAGCGCACCGCCAACTCAGTGCGGGCATTGATCTGGTACCTGCATAAAGAAAGTCTGTGATTATCTCTTCATATGTCGCAGGAATGCTTACAAAGATAAACGGCACTGTAAAATTGTCATCAAGATCATGTAGGCAAATACCTGAGTACACCTGTACGTTTTTTTATGAGAGCTGACATAATTACACAGAAGTGCAGATCTTACGTGTTGTTGTATCCAGGGTGGTCCAAGTCGTGACACACAGCAGCAGTCATTAAAATGCCCAGATCTGTCAGGGTGAGCTTTTCCTATGGGCCACACACACACACACAAGCACAGGTTTCCACTTTTACTGCTTCGCAGTAATTGCTGTACTAATTGCTACGTACCTAAAAGTTCTCACCTGGAGGTTGCAGAGGTGGATCATGCCATACATCATCTGACTCACGCAAAAACAATGACGGAAATTATGGAACGGGTTGCTTCGGTAATTTTCCTGAATGCCCAGCTAAGAACATAAAAAAAGATCAGGGATCATCAGATATGTTAAACTGGAAGCTTCACGTCTTTCATAATTCTCCACAATTATATTTTTCTTACCAGCCAGCGTTTGAGAGTAATCGGGTTTATGTTAAACTCCTTCACGAGTCCTAAGTCGTGGTACATGTACTCCAGGCAGCTCAGCATCTGATGAATAAACAGTCAATCGTAAAAAAAGAGCACGTGTGCGCCATTTGATCGCATAATATACTGTATACTCCACTCACTTCATTGTGCTCCCAGTGCCAAACATCAAAGGTTGGTTTCTTCAGCGCTTCAATGGTCTCCTGAGAAAGTGTGTACTGAGAAAATCAAGACTATTAGAGATTAATACCAATGTTCTCCCGCAGGGAATGTAATTCAATCAAAGCAAATCATAGAACTTTTAAGTACCTTTGGGTAGCTGGGGATGTCACGTCTGGGAGTTAATTTCTTCCCGTCGTCGGAGAAGTTGTATTTACATGGACAATTCACTCTGAAAGGAGAGCAAGTGTTGGATTAGTCATTTAGATACGTTTGAGACATACACAGATGGATAAACAGATTGATTGTCCTGCTTGTCTTGGTTTCCCTAAAAGGTAAATCTTTCTTGCACTTGCCTTGCTCCTGCTCTAGATGTCATCTCATCTCGTAGTTTCCTCATGTCATTTTTGCACTTTTCAATCTCTACGACCTTTAACCCCTCCACTGTATATTGGATATTGGAACATTGGGACAAAAAGACAAAGGTAAACTGTGTACTGAACAGCTTTAATAAGGGAAAGAAGTGCAAACTAATGAGACAGCATTCAAACTGACACAATCAAATTAAAAACGAGAACAATACAATTAAAGTTGTTGGTTGTATCTATAGAACTTATTACAATAGTCAACATTTAAAGTGGATCAAAAATGTTTTTCAAAATTGTCCTAAGACAAGAATTGCCAACCCAGGCTCATTCTGAAAACATACCTCTATTTACCTTTCTGGAGTCCGTGAAATATGTCCCATATGGGACGATTTTTTTTTTGCAGTTTATGTTTTGCAAATCCATAAAAGGCCGCTGTGAACACTTTTTGAGATCTTAAATTTCTCTTGCGAGTGCCATTTATGCCTGCTGTTCTCACATATACCCACCAGAGGCCGCTGTTGACTGACTGTTTGACTGACTGATTGACTGACCGACCAATCGACTGACCCACCCTCCTCCTTCCCTAAACCCAACCAATTTTATTGATTGACCCGCCCACCCACTTCTCTAAACCCAACCAACAATTTTCAAAAGCAACACAGAAAAAAAAGCTCTTGTCTGATTTTTACCATATTTTCAGATATTACCACATTCTTACTCTGTTATTTACCTGTTCATTTTGTTTTACCTGCTTTCTGGAACCGTCACCAGACTCAAACCACGTCGTTGTGGTCAATTCCTCTCTGTGCCTCAAGTCCGCCAACGTACATGGCAAGCTAACGGGACAAACTGGTTACAGCAGTAAAGCCTTCCATAAAGAAATAAGTGGTCCGCTGGTAAGCAGGAAAACAAAAGGCGTCATACCGCCCCGTAGCGTTTGTTTAAAAAATGTTATTAAAAATAAAAAATAAAACATAAATAAAACATAATTTGCAGTCTCCAGAAACGTATATAGCACTACATTTTTAGACTGAGCCATGTTGAGAATTGAGGTTGTTGAATGTGAAAAGTGAAAGTGTTTTGATCAACTTCAAATGTTGACTAATGACTAATGTATTTCAAGTTCATAGCAAAATACACACACACACACACACACACACACACACACACACACACACACACACACACACACACACACACACACACACACTTGTGTAACACTTTACAATAACAGTACATGAATAATGATGTAATCATATGTAAACTAAACATGGACTAATGATGAGTTAATGTGTGCACTAATCATGAACTAATTTTAACTACAACATGAGTCACAAGAGTTAATGTGTGAATAATGGCTACATTAATTACTTGTTAGAACATGATTGTTTGTTCATTCATTCATTCCTTCATTTTCTTTTCGGCTTAGTCCTTTTACTAATCTGGGGTTGCCACAGCGGAATGAACCGCCAACTTATCCAGCATATGTTTTACGCAGCAGATGCCTTTCCCGTCACTGGGAAACATCCTTACACACTCATTCACACACACACTCATACACTAGTCAATTTTAGCATACCCAATTCACCCGTACCACCTGTACCACGGAATGAACTATTCCAGCATATGTTTTACTCAGCGGATGTCTTTCCAGTCGCAATCCAGTACTGTGAAAACACCCATACACACTCGCATACACACTCATACACCAAGGCCATTTTTGTTAACCCCATTCACATATAGCGCATGTCTTTTTACTGTGGGGAAAACAGGAGCACCTGAAGGAAACCCACGCAAACACAGGGAGAGCATCCAAGCTCCACACACAAATGCCAATTGACCAAGCATCGGCTCGAACCAGCAACCTTCTTGCTGTGAGGCGAACAAGCTATCCACTGTGCCACCATGTCACCCTATGATTGTTTGTTAATAATTTATTAATTACCACATTAGTTTATGCTTAATTTAACCATACTGAACTCATGATACGTTGATGTATAATTATATCATGCCTTTACTTGGAGGGGCACATCATCAATAACCCATTCTTAACTACTCATGATTCCTAATGTACATCCGTCTAATGTGTTTACGCTGAATAACAATAGAAAAGAGCTCTGTCTACATCAACATGAACAGTTTAAACACAGGAGTTCATGAGTAGTTAAGAATGAGCTAATGGGACGTGCCCCTCCAAGTAAATTCATGACATAATTATACATTAACAGCTTGTGAGTTCATGCTGGTGTGAAAATATAAATTAAATAACCTAGTTTCAACAATACTCTTTATATATCTGCAAAGATATATTCTTTATTTTTAAATTATATTATTTCATTCAAAACTGTAACAGCACAGCTATGAGGGACATTAAACCTTTTGTTTCCAGAGCACGAGCTGAGCCAAAGTAATGCAAATGCTGTGGGCAGGGTCTTAATGACGGTGCCTTTGTCTTCGGGTGATACTTCCCAATACTTCATTTGATCACTGCATGCTATTGTTTATGTTAATGAGATAAGGGCTGGGAAAATGCTGTTTATCTTGCTGACTCCAATACTTAATTTACATGCTTTGTTTAGCCATCTTCACCTAGTCACTCCCCTCCTCCTAAAAACATTCTCATTTCAGACCTTGTAACTGACTTGTGATAAAAACTCGCAGACTTCAGACCTGTAAGAGACTCCTAAAAGGCTCTTGCGGACTCGTGTACTTCTTAAAGACGCATTATGACTGCAGATCAACCAACATGTCTTAATAAAGAAATTCTAGTGATTGATTTTAAGTCTCCTGGACTGTGTTCTCTCTTTCATTTTTATGTTTTTAACATTAGTTACATTTAGCTTAAACTTAAATGTTATTTAATACACTATCGAACAACATGTACTAACAAGTAGCTAAGGTAGCCGTTATTCACACATGAACTCTTGTGACTCATGTTGTAGTTAAAGGTAGTTCATTATTAGAGCATGCCTTAACTCTTCATTAATTCATAATAAAGTAATGTTTAGTTCACAAATTAATACATCATTATGTATGTACTGTTATTGTAAAGTGTTACCACACACATATAATTCTGATAAAATTATGCATTTTTTTTGTTCAAATATAAATTAAGACAACATTAGGATTGTTGCTCAATAACAGTCTCTGATTGGTGGATTTTCTGCACAACATCACAGGTAACATTGATTTTCTGCCCAAATTCTGCATGCCAGTCTGCAATAGTATTTTGTCACAATTTATGAATATTTTTGTTAATTAACTGCATAGTCTGTATTATTTAATAGATTGTATTCCATACACAATATATTGTTGGTTGAGTTTCTATTTCCAAGATTATCATAGGTATAACAATTCAATAACGTAAAAAACAAACAAACTGCGCTGTATTTTTGGTATCAGAACAGTTCTAAAAAACAGTATCAGTGCATACCTAGTTTTTTTTTTTTTTAATGCGGATACAGAGTTTCTGAATGTTTAGATCACATTGCTATAAGGTTAAAAGCTTAGCACTTAAAAAAAGGGTTAGTTTGAATCCCTAAATGTTGTAATATACTGCATAATTGTGTATTAAAGTTGACAGGAGCTATAGAAAATAGCGTGTGACTGGTGCATGTTCCTCCCTGAGTGTGCTGTTTTGGGAATGACTTGAACATCAGCTAGTGTATGATCTAACTGTATGTTAAATTTTTCAGTTTTCACTGACAAAATTGCTGTTAGTGTTTTAAAATACATGTTCCACCCTCAACTATAAGCCGGCACATCAATAAAACCAAATGAAAGCAGTCAAAAGTCAAATTGTCTTAATTACATACGTTCTACTCTCTTCTCCAGCATAGCCAGTCTGTTGGTCACTTCCGTTTTCAGCTCGTTGATCCTAAATGCTCTGCAGAATAAAGAAAAAAAAAGAGTGATCTGATTTCAGCACAGAAAACGTTACGGCAACAGAGATTAATCTCCAGTCCATGGGAAAACAAACATGTCTGTTACCTGCTGAACTGCTCTGCTACCTGTGAGAGCACATTCTGAAACATGTCTTCCTTTTCTGTGGAGATAAATACACAGGCTATAAATCAGGAGGGCATTATAACATTATAATGACCGAATGTACAGTAGATCTAGGGTACTAAAGGTCATACACTCCTAAAAATAAAGCTTACAAATTTAGGTTTTTATTAAAGTGCCATGAAGAAACCATTTGTGATTCTTAAAGTACTATTTAGAGAATAATTTTAATATTTTAAAGAACACCAAAGGAAAAGTTCTATGGTTTTAAAATTTTCTTCATGAAACCATCAATGCCAATATAGAACCTTTATTGATAATGGTTTAAGAATGTAAAATGACTGGTGAAAAATGATTCATATTACCTCCCAGTTGGCTGGCAGACAAGGGAATGATTTTATACAGGAAGCTAAAAGGACAAAATGGGATAATTTACTGACAGATCAAACTGGAAATTACCATAATGGCAATTACAAACAACAAGGGCTGCATTTTACTTGGGGTTGTTGGTGGGCATGGTGGGATCAATGGATACGATGGCACCTTCAGGGTCTGTCATCATTATTGCAGTGTTCCTGTAGACAGAAGGAATGAAATGGGAATTCTGATGGATTTATTGTCTCTGGCAGTGAACATGTTGTACACTACAGACAACTTTGAGTTGTTTTCAAAATGGACTTAGGTGTTGATTAGCGCTGATATCAGTGATATACAGACCTGGGGATGTTGGAGGAGGAACACAGCAGTTCTTTAATATCACATGGGCTGCAGTGACGGCTGAAAAGCACCTGTGCAGGACAAATAAGGGTGTGTTAGCTGGACTGTGTATGTATTTGCCTTGATATATGTACTACAATGAGACCAAATGTGCTACAATTCTGCTCAAATATGTGACTTCATATTACATTTTTAAATAACACTGAAAATGTTGAGGGATTTAAAAGAATAGAAAAGTATGACAATAAATTCAATGATTTTTAGTGCAATAACTTGCTATTAGAGTGAAGTTAGTGTAAATTCACAATAGGGACGAATAAGATTGTTGCATATTTTTTTATTCTAGTTTCATTCCTAGTTTGCTTTTCCTGGGTGTGTGGCCACAAAAAATGAAACTTTGTGATGCAAAAATATATTATATTTTAACATTCATTATTTTCAAATCAAAGACAGCAATTGTAAAGGGATAGTTCAGTCAAAACAGAATTCATTATCACTTACCCGCCCATCACTTATCACAAACATGTTTGCATTTCTTGAATGTAATGGACACAGAAGAAAATATTTTGGATAAATTTGGATAAATGTTGGAAACTGGTGGCCATTGTCTTCCATAGTATTTGTTTATCCTACTATGTATGCCAATGGTAGTCCCTTATTTATGAGGGGTCGCTACAGTGAAATGAACCACTAACTATTCCAGCAAATGTTTTACTCAGCAGATGCCCTTCCAGCCACAACCCAGAACTGGGAAACAGCTATACACTCTCACATACACTGCGGCCAATTTGTTTACCCAATTCCCCTACACCACATGTCTTTGGACTGTGAGGGAAACCAGAGCATCCGGAGGAAACCTACGCCAACATGGAGAGAACATACAAACTCCACAAAGCATGTGGAACCGGGACTCAAACCAGCAACCTTTTTGCTGTGAGACAGTGCTAACCACTGAGCCACCGTGCCGCCCTGTTTTGTGTTCAACAGTGAAAATAAAATCATAAAGAATTGGAACCACTCATGGGTGAGGAACTTGTGAGCAAATTTTCATTTTTTGGATGAACTATCCCTTTAAATTGAAAATATATAAACTAAAATTTAATTTTGATCAATCAAATAAAGCTTCGGTCAGCAAAAAACCTTGCAAATATATATTTATGAAATTATGTTTGACCAAAATTTGAACAGATATACATTTTATTTGTAGTTTAAAATACAACAATAGCTTTAGTGATACATTATATAAAATATAATGTAAATAAATCAATAAAAAAATGTTATACTGTACTGTACTATTAAACCTCATGAATGTAAAAAAGGCTCATCTTGCATTATTTTCATTCATTCATTCATTTTCTTTTCGGCTTAGTCCCTTTATTAATCCGGGGTGGCCACAGCGGAATAAACCGCCAACTTATCCAGCACATTTTTACGCAGCGGATGCCCCTTCAGCCGCAACTTATCTCTGGGAAACATCCACACACATTCACCTGTGCTGCATGTCTTTGGACTGAGGGGGAAACAGGAGCACCCGGAGGAAACCCACGCGAATACAGAGAGAACAGGCAAAATCCACACAGAAACGCCAACTGACCCAGCTGAGGCTCGAACCAGTGACCTTCTCGTTGTGAGGTGGCAGCACTACCTACTGCGCCACTGCATCGCCTCTTGCATCCTTTTGTCTGTTTAAAATACTTCTTCCAATGGTCTTAACAATGTTCAGACATCAAGTATAAATGAGCATGAGTTTATAAACTGGGCTTAAACACAGCTATTTACAGCGCGTCAGTCATTCTCTATTGGAAACAACAGCAGAAAACAATGTGAAATATCTCAACAGCGTGCAATGTCAGTCACACCTGTGGGACACGGCATCTTCAGCTTTATTTTTAACCTGTGCCCGCTGCTCTCCCAGCACTTTTCCTGACAGCTTTACTGGTGCCATGACAAACTGCTTAATATCTGGCTTATTGGCTTTGATTAATCATTTCAGCTTTCAGATATTAGTGATAGATTGATACAGCAGCCAATGTTTAGACAGCTTTGTCGAGAACTGTTACAGCATGTTTTCCTAAATTTCCTCTGATTTATAACTTTGCAATTATAAGAATTCTAAGCATTTTTCAGGTATTGAGCTTTAAAAGTTTGTATTTCAGGAAACATTTGCTTTGGCTTAGACAGAAAGTTGATTGTTGATTGGTTTTATTAAAACCTCAATATAAGAGTTGTTGACTATTTGAACTTTAAGTCCTAATATTGTAAAATGTAAGACATTTTAAAGGGGTAGTTCACACAATGTGCTCACAATTTACTTAACCTCAAACGATTGCAAATCCATTTGAGCTTTTTGATAATTTTTTTTTGGGTGAACTACCCTTTTAATAAGATGTTAAATCAGCAAGAAACAGGTGCTTCAGCAATGTTGTTTTACAGTTTAATAAACATTGAAAATATCTCACATTAAAAACCTATAAATGATTTCACCAGTGCAACGAAATGGTTTAACCAACAAATAAAAAAATTAACATTTAATTGAGATTAATTTCAAAAATTGCTTCTAAATTGCTTATTAAATTACCTAAATGACTTATTTATTAGTTGTAGTTTTTGTTTTCAAAGGAGTGAGATATTTATGGGCTCTGCATTTAAAATATGGATTACCTTTATAGAGATGTGTGTGTTAGTGCTGCACCTTTTGGTTCACTTTCCAATGTAAAAAAAAATAAATATATATAATTTAAAATATCATACGTGCAAATTTAATGTCCTAAAATTACTTATCTTGGCCAAAGAGATGAGAAAATAGAAACAGAAAGATTTATTAGACTTTAACTTTGTAGATTAGCTTTTTTTCTAAATAAAATTCCCAAAGTTTAAACAACTTCACAAAAAGCAATGCATACTCTAAATAAGTTGTCACAGAATAAGAATTTGTGATACTGGACAACAAACCAGTCTTGCACAGGTATCATTTCAAAAATACAATGTATGGGCCAAAATCGTAATTTTTAAAAACCATTTAGTAAAAATCTTGTTGCATGACGCTATTTTGTAACATTCCTACTGCACAAACATTAAAACTTACGGTTTATTGAAAAATCTGCATTGGTTAGACCATATAAACAACTTTTAAGGTTATTTTTTTCAATATTTAGATTTTTTTGAACCCTCAGGTTTCAGATTTTCAAACAGTTGCATCTCAACCAAGTGTTGTCCTGTCCTAACAAATCTTACATATATGTTCATTTTGCTTTTGTTCATTTTGAATAAACAATGACTGGTTTTGTGGTCCAGGGTAACGTGAAAAAATAAACAAGTGAACAAATAACAAGTGAAAAATAAATAAATAATGATAAAAATATCTGATGCAACCACAAAACGTAATTAACTCACAGAAACCTTTACCTTTCATATTTAAATCTGAATTTAGATACACACAAATCTATTAAAACACTCACCTTCTGCACTTTGCCGTCTACATCCAAATAGATGGTTTTGGGAGAGTAAGAGGAGGAGGCAGACCCCATGTTGATGAAATGAACTGTGAGATCCACCTGTACTCTTAACCAGGAGCAGATCCACCAAAACCAGCCCTCAAATGTCCCACCAGCCAAATGTCTTCTGAAATAAATACATGAAGACATTCACATCTAGAAAGTGTAAGACTTTAAAGTGCAGAGCATCATAAAAAGAAACATGGCACAGCACATTTTTATGCTCACATAATAAAGTCTTAAATTTATAATGTCACGCCACCTGTTTGAGAACAAATGAGAACAGAGTTTGCATTTTAGATAAACTATAAAACCCACACAAATGCACTTATTCCTTTAACAAAACTCAGACAACCAAATCCTGAACACTGACACAACTTTAATAACTCTGAGTCCACTCCAATTGCCGCTAAACGCCTCGATTATCATGTCAAGCTGTCATCAGAGACTTTCCTGGAAACTTTCTTGAAGATGGAGCCTTGCAGCGTGCAGGCCGTGTTTATTTCTGAGCACGTAACTCAATCTGCACGTAATGAAACGTTCTATTTGCAGCATTGCAGGGAGAAATGTTTAAGTCAGAAAATAGCAGTCTTGCCTGTGTGCCGTCAGCAGCTCCCGGTTTCTCCCAGCCGTCCCAGGTGCTCAATGGAGCTGAAGAGAGAGCAAGGCGGACCTGGGGGTATTGAAGGACCCTGAATATAATTGTCACTCTCCACCGTTGTCAGGGGGAACAGTTACTACGGTGAAAAAAGTGCCCAGCCTCCCTTGATGTCTGTCGTAATCATTTAATTTAGTCCGTTCATTGTTCAACCTGCTTAATTTTAGCAGCCCACCCAGGAGTTTATATATATGTCTGGAAAAATGATTGTGCCGTATATGCAAGCTACAGTGTTTAAAGTTGATTAGATTCATATGGGGCTTTATTGGAGAAAACAGCATTTTCATTACAAATGGAAAACTCATTGAGGACAAATGATTGGAATAAAGCTGCAATTTACACAAAACCCCAGCAGTTAGACCTTCAACGTGGCTGTCACTGGCCCATGAACATTTCCTGCTTGTTACCAAACTTTCATAAGGTTAACAAGAGGCAATTTAATGATATCTTAATGTTAAAATGGCTGCCATAACATAATTGATAAATATGTGGAACTTTTGGATTCTTGGAAGCTATGGAAATTCAAATGTAATATAAGAAACACATTAGGACCAATGCTATTGTTTACATCCATCAAATTAGTCCATATGTGGGAAATAAATGTTGGTAAATTCAATGACATTTCTGTCACTGTAATGTGCACTACAGTCTCAAGTCTACTTAGAGCAACATGTGTTTTGGTCAGGTGAGAAAGGAAGAGGGCTACTCTGTAAAAATGTTTTTTTTTTTTTTTTCGAGATTGTTTTTTTTTTATCTAAAACGTGTGTTATTTAAAAAAAAAACTGCAAGGGTTAAATTTATATTTTATAATTAAGTTTTATACCCAGCAGTTGTATTTGTTGGTAAAAAAAATCAAGCAGTACTTCATCCAATAAAAAACGTATATTTCATTTCAGTATTTAATATTAATATTATTTGTTTGATTTTTTCAAGTAGTTTATTTTTAGGTTAAAACATTGTCAAATATAAATGTACTAAGAAAAACTAAGAAATATTTGTCTTGACCAATGTAAAATTCACACAGGCCAGTGCATGCAGAGAAACTCAATATGCTTTGTACTTTCATGGATTTATAAAAATATTGTTTAAGGGAAGTTATTTATTTTTCATTGGCTCAAGTGAGCAAATTTATATGTGAAACCATTACCCTCAGTTGTTTTAATTAGATGAACGAACATTTTGTGGGAATTTTTGTTTTAATTAAAGCTGTATGTTCTTGTTAAGAACAGAAATTGAATTTAAATGAATTGACTTTCTTCAACAAGACAAGTATGCTTTGTGCCAGGTTATATAAAATTGTTCTCATGGAGATAGAAAATATTGTTTAAGGCAATTTATTTATTTTTCATTGGATCAAGTGATACAATTTAGATGTAAACCATTAGCCAAATGTTTTATTAAATTGGATGAATGAACGCTTTTTTTCCAGTGACAGCGTGTTAAAAAAAAAGCATTATTAAAGAGTGAATTATACGTTTTACATGGGAAAATGATTTGTTTTTACTTCAAAATTTCAGATTTACTTAAATTTTACTTAAAACTACTAGACATTTTGACTGAAAATTGTTTCTATGCTACACAAAGAAACAGTGTAGTAAAAACTCTTTGGTGTAGAAAATATTTACACTCAGAATTTGCTAGTAAATTAATTGCAAAAAGAAAGAAAAAGACTGAATTAGACAGACTAAAACTTTTTTTCAAACATTCCAAAGAAACCTTTGTTGTTTCACAGATTTGATGGTGATCACCATAAGATTTTTAGTAATGTGACAGGAAGCTCTTGCTCCAAACTGTCATGAAAAATGGTCAGGACCATATGTCGCAATTTATTAAGGTGCTTTATGTCATTTTTTTACTTTACTAAAGCTAAAAAAAATGTCTGAAGATATTCAGAAATTGCAAATAAAAAAGGCCACATGAGAAGGCAAATTGGTTTGTTGTGGAAAGTATGGTGCGGTCAGATAAGGACCTACTGTATCAATGGGTTATTTTAATCCAGCATTTTGATTTGTTCATATTAAATATTTGAATGAATATTTTTAGAACAATATTGTTAAATTGAACCACAGCCATTCACCTAAACTTTATGATTCTATAAAATTTTATGAATTTTGGAAATACAGTATAGAGGTGGAAAGTTTTTTTTTTACTTTATACTGCACTGTAACACAATGATATGGCAAAAAGTCATAATACCAATGTTTTTATGCTACTTAAACTACTTTTAATCAGTGAAACAGGTTTCAAATAAATATTTTTAGTTATGCAAAGTTTAAGTTTAACTACATTTTTGAAAAAATCAGTTGAGATGACTAGAAAAGTTAATTTGATTCAAATTTTTTACAGTGTCTACTTAGGAACTTATTTTTAAGTATCTGTACTTTACTGGAGTATTTATTTTAGAAAAAGTTTATTTTATTTCACTACATTCCACAAAAAAAGAAGTACTTTTTACTTCATTACGTTTGCTTAAAGTAAAGGTTATTTCCAACTGGCTGTGATAGAGATATAGATAGTGGTGTTTATTTCCTGAAATTGTATTAGTTAGTTTGTTAAACCCTTCACAATTTGTACTGAACAATTAATTTGTGAATAGGGCTGTTAATATTACTCATTTCACATTTAAAGGCAATAATATTATAAATAATGTTAAGGAAAATGTTTTGGATGATGGCCTGAGAATTTCCATTATAGGATAAATGATCAGGCTCAGTCAGATTTGCAATGAAGAAGTGATGTTGTTTGGATCATTACCACCCCTTACAAATGAGGGATGGAAGTGTGAAGAGTAGAGACAAGTGCAAACCTGTTCTTAGGCTTCTTCTGCTCTAATCTTTTCTCTCAAGGGGCCAGAAAAAGCTTCCTACGTCTTAATTCTCATGTGCCATTGACTACACTCCGCTGTGGAAATAGATTATCGGTCCTTGCCGCCCAGAGGGGTTGTTTTACTGCTGACACAATGGACATGCTTTTGATAAGAACACTGGATAGGGCTAATGTGGATGATAAGAGATCAAAACCATTTTTTCAAACCATTTAGCCAGCAGAGTTTAAGTCTATCATTGAGTATAGCCAAAGGCAGACAAAATGAACCCGAACAAAAAAGCATAAATTTAAAAGCTTACGTAACTAGGTAAGAAAAAAAATCACACCTTGGGTAATCAGAAATGCACATGCTTGTTGCTAATCATGGAACAAAAGACGAGGAGTCCGGTCATATTTCAATAATAAAGGATCTAAGGGGAAGACATTATTCTGAAAATAAAAGGCCTTATGGTTGTTCAGTTTATGGATGTGTGTCTGGGCTAGATCTGGATAGGAATATGGAAAACTCCTCCATTAGGCTGCTTTCATCTTCTCCTTTTGCTTTTCACTCACTCCCTGTGTTTGGATCTTTAAAGTCTTCTTGAAGGATTTCTATTCTTTTCCTCTGACTTGTTAAGACCAGAGAACAAAAACAACAACAACAAAAAAAAAAACAACAACAACCTGGCTGTACTGACTTCAAAATCTACACAAAATAATGAGCAAAGTGAAGCATTTTTTTCTTTAAGGGTGTTGAAGTCAGTACTGTTTTTAAGCACACCATTTTTCAATATTCTTGACACGTCATAGAAGAACAACGGATGATTTTAATACTTCAGATATTCTGATTTCTGGTTTGATTAGACTGTCAGCTCCAATATGTTCCCTGTGAGCTTGATTGCAACCGTTTTGCATAATCACCACTTACGCGCAGCACTTTTCACCACGTCAAGTACTAGTGCTCATATAGGCAAAAGAAGAGTAATAGAACTGCTGAAGCTTGAGAGGAAAACAAAAAAATCTAAATGCTGATCATTACAATAATTCAATAGAGTGCTTTGTTGGAATTAATTGAGTAATTGTAAAATCATCTTTGCCATCTCAAAATTTGATTGCTGCATAAATTATTTTTAGATATGTCTTCTGTTTCCTTTTGATTTTCAAGACAAAATTGTTGTAATGACAGTCATAAGCTTAATGCTGCAACACAGGCTCACTGGAAATATGTACTTAAGTCTTTGTTTTTGTAAAACTGCAAAAACACACTATGTTTGACTGGAATTTTTAGGTAAAATGAATGCTACAGAACAATGTAACGTTGCAACAACTTTTATTCATTTTCAAACTAATGATAGCTTTGGGGACATATTAACAAACAAATAATTATGTTCATACAGTTCTTTGCAAAACACCAACTAAATATCGCAAAATATCTTAATGATGTCTATGATTTGTAATCAAATACTTTATCTTATCTAATTATCTATTTATTTACAACTTTTCTGCCAGGGTCAGTTTGCTTGGTAGCTCACCCTGTGCGGCGTTGTACTTGATGTAGAGCCCTTAGGATCAAGTCGGGTGAGGCATGGTCCTACAAAAGAGATAAAAGCAATGTAAAATCAAGTTAAACTATGTGGTTGCAGTGAACTATTCTCATACGTTTGCTTTTGTAAACACTATTGGTTGGATTTAGGGAATGACTTAGGTCAATGGTTCTCTAGGGGATCTATATAACAAGCCCCTCCTTCTTGTGGATGTGTATCTAAAACATACAGCAAAACTTACCCCAAATAACATATTCCAGTTAAAAAAAAAAAAGACAGCACCCTCTTGTGAACTTGTTATTAAAAACGTGCAAGAAAACGGATCTAGAGTAATGTCCATTCATTGTCAGGTGTTTATTCAGGGCAGAGTCACGGAGTTAACCAAAGAAACATTCGTTCATTTTCTTTTCGGCTTAGTCCCTTTATCAATCTGGGGTCGCCACATCGGAATACTTATCCAGCAGGTTTTACGCAGTGGATGCCCTTTTAGCTGCAACCCATCTCTGGTAAACATTCATACACACTCATTCACACTCATACACTACGGGCAATTTAGCCTACCTAGTTCACCTGTACCACATGTTTTTGGACTGTGGGGGAAACCAGATCACCCGGAGGAAACCCATGCGAACGCAGGGAGAACATGCAAACTCCACAGAGAAACGCTAACTGACTGAGGCTCGAACCAGTGGCCTTCCTGCTGTGAGGGCCACCGCGTCGCCCTAAAGAAACATATTTGACATTTTACTGAAACGTAGTCTTACCACATATGGGCCTTAAATGAGCCTTGTCGGTTAAAATGCCTGACATCTCACATACCTGATGTTTCAGTGTGACTAGTGCTCAACAGATTAACAATGCATTATGAACACAAAGGCTGTTTCCATAATAACAACAGCATTGTTGTGAATATTACACAGAATAAATAGCACATATGCATTTGATTTGAAATGATTTTTAAATTCTCAAGCAGCACTGTTTTTTATAAAGCCTGTTTTTACATTTGACTTTATTTGAATTCTATATTTAAACGAGGGTTAAAGTCAAATGTGAAAAGTCCTGTGATGTCATCAAACGTGTATATCATCGTTTATGTCATCAGTCGGAAAAACGTAAAATATTCACAGCCATGGATGGGTTTATCATTGAAGGCCCTAAGCAAATTCCAGGTGTGGGGCCTTCAACATTATGTGTCTCATTACGAAGGTGTACAGCATAAAGTTTGGTGAAGAATAAGACAAGTAAAAAAAACTCAAAATTATACTTTGAAAAGCTGAGTCTGTCATGTGTCACACAACAGATATCATGAATAATGTAAACGGTCTACAACTCAATCATTAATTTAAAACAGTTATTTTGGTTGTTTAAATGTTATCAATGGATTAAATATAGCCATATTTTGTTTCTAAAAGTTTATCACTTCTGTTATTTTGTAAACAACTTTGTTCTTAACACAGTCTTGAGGAAGTCCCATGATTATAAACATTGTTTTAATTTTTCAGTGAAGGAACTTAAAAGACTCAGATGATGGATGACAAACAAATTAAATAAAAAAATAATAAATAGACTGAGTGTGTAGTGCAAAGTATATGCGCATGGGTCTCAAACTGGATTCATGGAGGGTTGTAGCTCTGCACAGTTTTGCTCCAACCCTGATAAAACACAGCTGATCCAATAAATCAAGGTGTTCAAGACTACTACAGACTATTAAGCAGGTGTGAGTAGGAGGTGGTTGGCGCTAAAATCTGCAGAGCTGTGGCCCTCCAGGAATTGAGTTTGAGACCACTGGCATAGAGTAAAGGGAGTCATTAGGGACACAACTATTCTCTAATTTTTTATGTACAGCATCATTTTCAGCATAAAACATGCTACTAAATATTATTGTTTAGAAAAAAAAGTTAAATAAATGTGAACATATGGGTTCAACATAAGCACACACAATTTATTAATAACCTCAGGTCTAAACACAGTTTATTTACTGTAACTTCATTCTTAAACAATAATTACAATATATTTCAGTTTATACTGTCTGTCCCATCTTTATCCCTTTACTCCCATGAAACATATAAGGTAATAATAATAAAGATAACAAAAGGTGCAACCCAGATGTTAAATTGAATTAATGTTAATATGATGGTGACGCGGTGGTGCAGTAGGTAGAGCTGTCGCCTCACAGTAAGAAGATCGCTGGTCCGAGCCTCGACTGGGTCAGTTGGCGTTTCTGTGTGGAGTTTGCATGTTCTCCCCGCGTTCGCGTGGGTTTCCTCTGGGTGCTCCGGTGTCCCCCACAGTCCAAAGACATGATAAAGGTGAATTGGGTAGGCTAAATTGTCTGTATAGTATAAGAGTGAATGAATGAATATGGATATTTCCCAGAGATGGGTCTTGGGGGACCAAGCTCCATTCAACTGCAGTTGTGAAGAAATGAAAATGATTCACAAAAAGTTAACAACTATCTTGCTGTCCTTAAAGAATAAGCTTTGGCCAAATCCCCCGTGGACTGCTTAAAAAGAGATTAGAATTCAATTAAATTTGCAATTAACTTGAAGTTAGACCTACCGGAAGAAGAACTGCCAAGGGTTTGATATAAACAGCCGCTTGTGACTTGATGAAGAGGACTGAACTCCAAATATAGTTCGTGCACAGCGTTATTTATCGCGTTTAGATAAATTAAAGTTGTAGCTGATTAATTCAACGTACTGTAGGCTACTATTTTAAGTTTAGATTACAAAATATTTGGGAAAAAACGTTTTGCCACCGAAAGAAAATGCCAGAAATTGTTGGTCAGCTGGCCTGAACTAAAAACTATTATCTATTTTGTTATACAGCAAAGAGAAAGGAAGTACTGAATACTAGTTAAACAACAATATCTTGTGGTCCAGGGTATGAAATTACGGACTCAAATGTTTTATTGAATGAATGATTGGGATGTGGGGGCCTCTTGTGGTTAAAATGCGCAACTTGTCAAATGTGTAAATGGTGTCTTTGTCCTTGTGCATTTTTAAAGGGATAGTTCACCCAAATGTTTTTTATTTTTTTATTTTTTTTATTACCATTTTCTTCAGTCGTTTTTATTTTTCTTCTGTTGAACACACACATAAAGATATTCTGAAGAATGTTGTAAAAACATGCAATTTACATCCATAGTAGAAACAAAACAATTATATTTTATTAATGTTATTCAGTTTATCTTGCTTTGTGAAACATAGTAAATTATGTCAGATGTTAATTTTAGGGTGAACTATCCATTTACATACCCAGAACCAAGTTACATTTATTAAAAATAATTTTAAAAGAGAGCTATTGTAGTTAAATCATGGTAACCACAAACGTACAAAGTTTTTTTGCAACATAGTTTAACCATGGTATTTGTTGTAAAACTGTGGTACAACAGAAACAAGAGATATTTTACTTGAGTGAATTTTCAATTAAAACTTTCCGCTTTTCAATAAGAAACAGACAAAAATAATAAAATCATTTTAATAATGACAAAGTATTTACAGCAGATTCAAACAGATTCCCATAATGCTTTGTTATACCTCAAATTAAATATTTTTCTATTTATAGCATTATTTCAGTTTAGTTTAAGCTTAACCACAGCTAAACAATGATGTAAAAAAATGTATTTAATTAGAAAACAAAATAAATCATCAATGTGCTTGTCTGGGAAATTAGTTCTTTGCTTAACAACTAATGATCTTTATGTTTCGGTCCTGTAAACAATCATTTACCTAAAGTTTTTGGAAATCTTAAAACACTAAAATTGATTTTAGACTGTTTTAAATTGCGATTTACCACATACAGCACCACATAGAGGGACCTCCACTAATATTGGCACACTTGGTAAATATATGGAAAGATTGCACTGAAAATATTTTGCTTAAAATATTATAACTTTTTTTAAATCTGAAGATTCTTAATCTGGCAACCCAGAATTCACCCATTGTGTTGAATAGTTAAGTTTGGCCAGCGTGTTTTTTCATGGCTTTACCACTTTAAATTTCTCATCACACAGGTGTGATAAAAATTTTAAGTTAGAGTATATACTTTTTTGGCACAAAAATAGTTAAGTTTTTATTCATCTTTTGACTGCCAAGGGTGCCAATATTAATGAAAAGTCTATGCAAAGTCTCATAATCAAACACTATCCTTTACATTTTGTCACTTGGAATTATAAGGTTCAATCTGCATCGGCATCAGCTTTAAAATTTTTGCTGTCCATAGCGAACAGTATGTGTGTAACAATTGTTTTTAAAATAAAAAGTCTTAAAATGTAAACAACTTATAAAAAACATCCCATGATGTAAATAAGTTGTCATGTAATAAGAATATGGGAATAACTTTGATATGTGAATAATTTTGACAAAAATGTCAGATAGAACCTTATAATTCTAAGGTGATGATTTGTCCATCCTCAGTCGTGCTCATCTGGGAAGGCTGTGGTGGTGCATAGTGTTTTCTCCATCAGTGGGAGGATCTTCAGCGTGTGAAGGGGAGGAGCTTAGCCTTGGTGGGTGGGGCTTGCGCGTTAAGCTACCCGGATATATTGGACAAGACAGGGGTGGACTGAATGTCCCGTGAGGGGTCGGTGGAGGAGACGGCACAGGGGTGCGTGGGTATCTTCTTCCTGAATGCATATAAGCATCTGGAGATTGTGAGGAAGGAGGAGGAGCCATGTTGGGGTAACAAGGTGGACTGAGAGGATCAATAGGGTTGATATAATTACCAGAAGACTCATCTGTTCCCCCAGGGAAATCCTAAAAAATAATAATAAAAAAATTAAACAACAACAGTCATAAAATAATCATCAGCATAATAATTAAAGATTAGTCTTACCGTTTCATTGAGAACATACAATCCACCTGGATTCCGACGATTATGGTAATTTCTAGCAGGCACAATATCAACTACTGTAAAAAAAGTATTTTTCAAGATTTAATTAAAATTCATATGTAACAATCAAGCATTAAATTAATATTGGTTATAACAGCTGGCTAAATTAAAATGTAAAAGTACAGTAATTTTTGTATTGATATAAAAGTGGCTTTGGGCTTATACTGACACCTAGTGGGGTGGATGCAGCATAACACAAAAATAAGGTCATTGTAGATATCCTATGAAGAGTTCAGAAGCAAGAACCTTTAAATCAGGGGTCACCAACCTTTATAAAACTGAGAGCTATCTCTTGGGTACCGATTAATGTGGAGGGCTACCAGTTTGATAAACACTTCTCAAATAACACATTTGCTCAATTTACTTTTAATTATACTTTATGTTTTTGGTAATAATTAATAATATTCATCCAGGTGAAGACACTGATCATGCTAATGATTCTCACAAAAGTTATCAACAATGATTTAACAGGGTAGGAAATACCCTGTATTTAATGTATCAACACTTTATTTTTATATATCTCTGCAAATATTTACATTTTAAAATGATTACCTCTATATTAGATGAAGAAGCTTACTGGTAAGTGGTGCTATGGTGAGCTATTTTTAGAACAGGCCTGCGGGCAACACATGTGATCCTCGTGGGCTACCTGGTGCCCGAGGGCACCATGTTGGTGACCCCTGCTTTAAATGCTGTCTGAATGTCTTCCTAAAATGAGCATTTTTCTCAGCCTCCTCTGTTTATGTTCAGTTATTTCATTTTAAAGGTAACAAAAAGAACCTATTTGTCACTATAAAAGTAAAATATACTTTTGTGTGAGTCCACACACAGGAGTCAGAGCAAAATGTAAAATGTTTTGCATCTAAACTCTTCATATATCTTTATGATCAGTGATGAAAAATACGACAAAACTGAAATAAAAAAGGTAATATAATGTTATATTATATATTATATTATATATTTAAAAAAATAAAATCACATGAGGATATTTTATTATTAAAACAATCTAAATTTCAATCGAAAATGTAATTGTATTTTATATCATTCCAAGGCACTATTGTTTGTGCCTCTTTTTATTATTAACTGTATTAATACAGTACACAATTATACATAAAATGTTCAAATAAAGTAAACCAAAGACAGTTTCAACATAAGCGTTACCCTCATGACTGCCGTTGCTCTGCTCGGCTACACTTTGTCTGGCAAGCTGTTCCCTTTTTCTAAAGATAAAATAACCACATAATTTAATTAACAACACATCAAACGCAACAATATAATATTTCATAATAATATAATATTCTAATATTAATCTAGTCCACTAACACAATCCTAAATATGTAAAAGCTAAGTTCTCTCATCAGTCGTTTTGCTCTTTGTTTTCCATCCGATCTTTGCACCTTTAACCTCCTAACATTTGAAGCACAAAGGCTTTCCTCAGAAGAACAGTACGAGTGTCTGTGATTTATTGTGTCTTACTTTACAGCTATCAAAGAGACTGCTTAAATACAATAGGGATGGTACTTTTTGGAGGGTTTCCAGCAGGCGCACACAGTCACCAGGGTGATGAGTAAGAAAATGCCTCCTGTCGAGAGGATGATATAGAGAGAACTCCGTCCTGCACAAATTAAAAGGAGAATACAGGGTGACATAGTATTTCTTTCCTCTCCAAAAACACAAACAGTGCTCTGAAGGACTAAACCGCTCTTTAGGGCCAAATTAAGGAGAACTCAACTGGAAGATTGATTGCACAGGTTGCCAGGAATACCAAGTGCAGGAATGAATGGGGAGGTTTTGGGGGTTTAAAGGGTAGACTGTGCAGGGGAATGCAGGATCCTGCTGGGCTCAGAAATGAGTGGAGAAGTGGATGAGAGGATCAGAAACAATCTGCACCTTCATCAGTTCTTTTCATAAACATTCACAGCTGGATAGAATTCTTTTAAGTTAACTTTTGTCGTTGTTTACTCACCCTTATGTTGTTCTGAACTTGTACTTAGTAGTTCTGTGTTATTTTTCTGGGAGTTTTTTTCATTAGGGCTGCACAATATATCATTTCAGCATCAATATCCCAACATGATCAATAACAATAGTCACATCGCAGAATTTGCAGTGTTGAGTTAGTATTATAATTCATCATTTGCATGTGTTTTTGATGCTTGTGATTCTATAATGATTTTAAAAGCATCCAGGTATAAGAAACTGTACCATTTGTGACCTTAACTATGATTCATTTCATTGAATTATTTTTATTTTTATCATTCCATTTCTGAACTTGAACACTTGGGGAAATGTTTAAAATGATAAAATGATACACTTTATTTCAATTGTATCTTTTTCTTAATTGTATTTATAGATTGTTATGCATGAAGATACTCACAACACATGCAAATACAGAAATGCACTGCAAATAGCACAGAACAGTGGTTCCCAAATAATCAAAAATCTAATTCATTTTATTAAACTATTATAATTACTATATTTTATCCATAACCTATAGAATATAAAAATTAATAGTTACATTTAGAAAAAAATAAAATACAAATAAAAAGCCATCAGCCTTTCATTTTTTTTCATTGGTTTGCGACTCCCAAGGGTGAATACTTTATATTAAAGTCACATGCAACAGATTGGTTTTATGGCATGAGGTTAAACTTTCCGACACCTTTACGACTCACATACATTAAAAAAGGCCATGACTGAATATGGAGGAAGTCCTTAGAGTGACGTTCTCCAAAATTAAATAAAGAAGAGACGACTGGTGTGTATAACCACCTCAGAGGATATTGGCGGTCACGAATCACTGGCATTGATATTTTGGGGGTCGCAGACTGAAAAGTTTGGGAAACACTGGCATAAACCCTAACAAAAATGTGTCAGGGACACCAAAAACTTTATAGGTTGTCATCTCTGACTAAACACAAGCATGAAAATACTCACAACAGATGCAAATAGAGAAACACACTGCAAGTAGCACATACAACAATAAAACGTGTTGGGAGACCCCAAAATTGTTATAGATTGTTTCTTAGATTTTATGGAGATGCATTCCCACTTTAGAGTCATTGCACTCGTTCTAAAATTATAATTCTTTTCCAGATAGCGATATTAAGTCAAATGGTAAGCTTGTATTCATATTGCTATATATATATATATATATTGCAATGTTACATTTTTCCAATATCATGCAGCCCTAGTGTTAATTACTGTCTACTACAGAAAGTGTTACTTTTTTACTATTAACTGGTATTTACTTACATTTAAAAATGACTTTTTTTAGTTTTCTTATTTATTTTAGTGTTTTTGTATCACTTCTTTTTATTATTTAATTGTTTTAATTGAAATTAAATAAATATATTAACTAACCAATAATATACATTAAATAAAGTTTTTTAAATTATTTAGATTAACCATGAAAATTATTTATTAATTAGCATAAATTTAAATGAACTTAAACAAAATTAAATTAAAAGTCTTGATTGTATGTTTAAGACACAAAAAAGCAAAATATAATTAGCACAATCTTATTATTTCAACCTTTTAAAATTATAATTTATATTTTTTTATATTCTAAATTATATTTTTCATGTTTGATTCATTTATTTGTCAATTTTTACATTTTAAAGCTCAATTTCCAAAGGAATTACAAAAAAAAAAAACAAGTTGCACACTGAATTTAAGCAATTTGAAGCAATAGCCTAGCGGTTAGCATGCCGACAAATGAAGCAGTAGCATTTCAGGGCGTCCTGAGTTCGAATTGCGGCTTGAGGAGATTTCCCACCCCTACCCATCTCTCACACTTCGCTTTCTGTCTGATTACTGTCCTATCTAAAAAAGGCCAAAAATAAATTTCTTAAATTTGTAAAAAAAAAAAAAAAAAAATCAGTCATAAGGCACTCGAAACATGTGGAAAAAAATATTTAAAAGCCTTTATTCACATGACAAATCCTTAAAAAAAACTTACGCGTTTTGGCAAAGAACAGGTATCCTGACAGGTAGTTTTTTTAAGGATTAGCCATGTGAATAAAGGCTTTTTAATATCTTTCGAGTGCCTTGGACTGATTTTTGCTGTTTAATCTGATTAATCTCTTACCCAAAGAGCACCGGCACATTATTTAAGCTACCCCTGAGCACTTTTTGTTTTATTTTGGGATATCTACACAACTATGTTCAACTTTGAAAATGTTTTTTTACAGTATACTAAAATTGCTTGTAACATTTTTACTTTCAGTTGATAATAACAAAACTTCTGAGTTTGACATCTGTTGTTTTTATTGCAGATTTTATTGCTGTCTACGATCTTTCCTTTATATTTAGAAGCACTTTAAGGTGATTAAATAACAGAAGAATTTACTCTGTGGATCTCTTCAAACCTCTAAACTCTTGTTCCACATAATTTTTTTTGTTAAGTGCACAATGTTTACATTGATATATTTACATGTAACTAAATTGCTAACATTCCCTCTTTCCCCTCACAAATCCTTACATAATAATTGCAAAACACTTTTCATCTTGTCATCTTTTTATGTTTTTTTTTTTTAATTATTGTTTTTTCATCTTCAGAATCGTAGTTCATGTGTAAAGGTGGAGTTTCATCACCTACTGTAGACAGTGAGTTTGACCGGCATGCTCTTCATGCTGCTGATGGGGTTCTCCACCCTACAGCTGTATACATCATCATCTGACATCATTACACGCGAGATGGTCAGCACCTTCTGGTCATGTGACAACAGCAGACGAGAGTCATTGGTTAGAGATTTGCCACCCTTCAGCCAGCTATAGGTGGGTTTGGTGCCGCTTTCATGAGTGCAGTTGAGTATGAAGAACTCGGTCAGCTCCAGGACAGACGAGGCCACCATGTGTATAAATGGTCTGGACACTGGAACTGAAAAAACAGCATGACATAGACAAAGAAAGTCAGTAGCAGTTTTTTGGTATGCTTCACGTAATTAGGGCCTCATAACAAAAAAGCATCAAATCACACTCACCAAGGTCAGAAATGAAGCAGAACATGGAGCAATATGGAATATAGGAATATATAGCAATATACCAAAATGTAACAGTTTTGCAGTAACATATCAAAAAGAGTGCCATTTTTCTGAACATCAGCACACTGGTTGATCTCAATAAGCTTTTTGCTTTATTCAACTAATTTAATAGTTCCAAACAACACAGTAAACCATTGTGCAATTCTTACATGTTTGATTTACATGTTTGCTTTTATGTTTGTTTATATAGCTACTATTTTCATTTATAGCACTTCATTTTTACATCTCATTTAAATAAACTATGAACAGCAGCTTCGCTATTTATTTCCTTTATTCTCTATTTCCACCTGCGAATACTCATCCCAAGGCCCCATTATGCAGCGCCATTGATGCGATCCAAGACCTGTGAAGAATTTATGCCAAGGGATCCATAATCCTGGACTATCCTGAACTGATGCTGTGGTGGTCATGGAGGAGCGGAGAGCATGAGACTGATTCCTGAAAGACTACAGTGACAGACGAGTCTCTGCATTGAACTTGTGGGCCAGCCTGATGGACATCCAGCGTTCTCCAGCTTCTGGCACCTAGACTGCAGCTCTACACAAGAAGTTTGGCCTGATGAGAAATGGTCGTGCTCAACTGAGCCTGGTTTCTCTCTAGGTTTTTTTTTCCTTCACTTCATCAATTGGTGAAGTTTTTTCCTCGCCACTGTTGCCACTGGCCTACTTAGTTGGGACTTGTGGAGCTGCGCATTGATGAATTTGCTCTTCAGTGTTTGCATATTATAAGACCATGAAAGTGTTTTTTGACCTTGCATGCATATCAGTATATTGTTGGAGATTCATATAACCGAAATATGACCCTTTTTCATATATAATATGGGCTCTTTAAGCTGCTTTGACACAATCTACATTGTAAAAGCGCTATACAAATAAACATAAATTAAATTGAATTCTGAACAACATAATGTTTTTTACAGAAGAAATCTGCTTTTTTAACTACTCATTTTAATGATTGACTTGTTTACTCATTCATGAAAACAGTTAATGCATCTGAATTCTCATACTGTCTGTGAGGACAATACATAATAATTTAAACTTACTGACCATTAAAAAGTACATTCTAAGTAGTATGAATATGGGAATGAAGTTTGGAAGTTTTGTGCACAGACACCATCAGACGCCATCGTTGGCATACTTACTATTATAATTTTTAAAATTTCGTTTCTGTTTGATCGTTCCCTGGACTTGAATGGCCATTTGTTGGCCACTTGTTTCACTCATGTTTATTGTTATAACTTTTAACAGAATGAGCTATTATCAAAATTCTTTTTTCCAACCCAGGTGGGCCCCAGTTGGGCGAATCCAGGTGGGCTTCACGTGGTGCCCCCCCGGCTCATCAACTTTTTGGTACATTCCCCATATGCACGGAACCCAACTCGCAACAATCTTCATACCCGCTCCCCACTTTTCAGTTTGCGCGCACCTTACCCCCCGCTTTTCCACCGCTTTTGGCCTCAGGACTGCTTTGCTCATTCTGGCTCTGGACTGCTTTGCTCATTCTGGCTCTGGACTGTTTTGCTCATTCTGGCTCTGGATCGCTTTGCTCTTTCTGTCTTTGAAGTGCTTGGCCCCTACATTGCTGCTTGCAGCTATATTTTGTAAATGAATCTGCCCTTTTGAATGACTTGTTTTAATTAATTGAATTTAGTGAGTTGAAGTCGACTCACTCATAAAGAGGTTGTGTCTGTGTCTGTCATCATAAAAATGGTGTGAATAAAATTTGGACTGCTGAGACGGATAGAGTTTTAACAGACAAAGATAGGGACAAAGACACTAATCCTTCCTAAATTAGGCTATGTTTTAACTTTATTCATTAGCCAAAATCATTTCAAAGATTAAATACTGATTCAAATAATCACATTAATGAAATAATGAGAAAAGGAAAATGAGAGAAAGGATAAACGTTAATCCTTGCTGGGACAGATATGAAGGCAGAAATGTGACACTGTCGTGATGCAATCTACCATTGTTATTTGCGTTGCTTGCTGTACAGAATTTGCAAATCCCCCTTAGCTTCATGGATTAATAAAGTTAATACTGTATGTCAGATGCACACTTCAGAAACTTAGTGGTTGTACAGTTTTTTCAATACTATGAATTTACAATGTATTACTCCTATTTGCACAATGATTTTGCATAGTATGAAGCCATTTAATGGAGTATTTGATTCAACGTGTGTAAGAGTCACAAGTGTGTTAAATTAACCATAGTAAACTCTTCCTTTGCATTCTTAATTTATGATTACAGTACACTTTCACTGATGTCCTTCTGTGGTTGAAACACTGTGACAACATGAGATGTGATACATTGCAGCAAGCTACAGTGTTTTTTAAAATATACTTACCCATGGTAATTTATAACTACAGAAAATAACCAGATTACCTGGATCCTGCCTTTACTAACCGCAAGTAAAGCAATATGAAAATGCAACTGGATGGTAATTTAATTTTTTCTTCAATGTACGATTGCCTATTTTCCTGTGATATATAAAGAAAGTCCTGTCCAAGGAAAAACAGTTTGCTTTAAAGGGATAGTTCACCCAAAAATGAAAATCATCAATCATTATTTACTTATTCTTTACTTGGTTCAAACCTGTTTAAGCTTTTTTTGTTGTTGTTGTTTTAAACACGAAGGAAGATATTTTGAAAAATGTTGGACACCTGTAATCATTGACTTGCACAGTATTTATTTTTCTTACTGTGAATGTTAACAGGTTTCCAACATAAGTTAAAATATCTTCTTTTGTGTTCAACAGTAACAAACTCAAAGTGGTATAAGTGATGGATGTGTGAGTAAATGATGGATGAATTTTCATATTTGGATGAACTATACCTTTAATCGCAAATAAAGTATTATACTGTATATACTTTATATTTTATAATAATAGCAGTCAAATGTTATCTTATGAGGAGGATAAAATGAAAATATATGTGTCTTACTATCCACAGTGAGGTTGACGTGCCTCTCCCCAGTGAAGGTGTCATCAGTGATGGAGATCTCCACTTCATAGGAGCCCTCATCAGACAGCCGCAGGTTATGCAGGAGCAGGGAGCCGTTCTCATACAGGAGGATTCGGCCACGGTATTCAGGTCTCAAGTTCCCAATGATGTCAGTTCCAATAGACTGGACCACAGTGACGGGTTTGTCCCTCTTCAGCTGCCATTTAATGACAGGATGGTCTAAACTGGTGCTGGTGTAGGTCACCGAGAGAAGAGCCGAGCCTCCTAGTGTTCCTCGCACTACAGGAGACGGGCTGCTGATGTTTACTCCACCTACATCTAGTATGAATAGGAAAATTACTAAATGACATATTACCGTGAAACTCAATCTTTTTTTGAAAAAACTCAATTTTACTTGATAAGACCTCAGTATGCTAGCTATTTCATTAGAGGCCACTGGTTTTAATTAGTTTTGCCTGTATGTTTTTTTTTTTAAAACTCAAACATATGTATGTATGAGTGTGTGTGTGGACTATCCTGTCGCAAAATGCAGCGAAAAGTCCTACATGGGGGTTATAGTTTGCTCTAGGTGTTTACATGTCTGTCTGCACTTCAAATATGTCACTAAAATAGGAAAACTCCACCTGTCTTACTTCGATTAGGGTTTATTTCCAATATGACTTTACTCGCATTAAGGCAATCAAAAATCTGTTAACGCGGTAGACTCTTGATCAGAGTTTTCTCTTAATCGTATTAAATTCTGAGTATTCATGTACATATAAACGTACTTACTCATGAATGACAAAAAACTATGTTTCAGCTAAAAGTTTTTCTTTAATGTTCCTCTGTGATTTTTTTTTTCTAGTTCTCCGTTGTCTTAGAGAGAGTAGACTGACAGCAATTATGTATTTTTGGTGAACGATCTCTTTAAATTAGTGTTAAATACTAATGTATTTAAACATTGATGGTAACAATCTTAAAATACACAAACGTGTTGTAATAAAACAGTAAGATGTTAAATTTACTATTTAAAAACTGTCCTATAATAAATACTAATTTAAAGAAACTATTTAGACATTCAATAAAATTGTACTCCTATTCTATTACTTTACTAATTTTACTATAATTAAGAACTACACTGTTGTCACAATCACCAGCAATCTAGGCCTTGCAGATCGTTGAAAGACATGCACCGGGACTACAATTCTGCCACTAAACTGCACTATATTCCCCACCAGGCACCTCACTCACACACCAGTTCCGGATCAGCCCTGATTACTTGCACACAGCTGTAGATCATGAAGACTCATCACATGGACTCATGGACTATATTCAAACCTAACACACACACAGTGCTGAGTCTTGTTTGTCTGTAACTTTAGAAAGAGTTTGACTAATCTGTAAAAAATCTTGCGTTTGGACACTCACCTCTGTTGTCACCTTAAATACTTGTGTTCCACATAATTCCTTAAAGTCATTAAATTTTTAAAAACTATTTTAAGCAAATTGAACATACAAGCAAAATTTTTGTTTGATTGAATATAAAATACTACCTAAAAAAGTATCACAATAATTCTTACATTAACAACAAATAATAATAAAACAAAAAAATAAAACATCTTATTTTTTAGTCAGGTTTTACTGTTGGAACTGCTTACATAGAGTTGAAGTTAGAATTATTAGCCCCTTGTTTAATCTTTTCCCAATTTCTGTTTAACAGAGAGAGAAGATTTTTTAAAACTAATTTCTAAACATTATAGTTTTAATAACTCATCTCTAATAACTGATTTATTTTCTCTTTGCCATGATGATAGTAAAAAATATTTGACTAGATATTTTGCAAGACACTTCTATACAGCTTACAGTCACATTTAAAGGCTTAACTAGGTTAATTAGGTTAACCAGGCAGGTTAGGGTAATTAGGCAAGTTATTGTATAACGATGGTTTGTTCTGTAGACTATTGAAAAAAAACAGCTTAAAGGGGCTAATAATTTTGACCTTAAAATGTTTTTACAAAATAAAATAAAAATGCTTTTATTCTAGCCAAAATAAAACAAATAAGAAAACATTTGATCAGACATACTGTGAAAATTTCTTTGCTCTGTTAGACATCATTTGGGAAATATTTAAAAAATATATATTCAAAGGGGCCTAATAATTCTGACTTTAACTGTATATACATAGCTTAAGTTCTGCAGCAAGCTACCTGCTGGTAAACAGCTTTGTGCTTATTGGTTCTGAGTGAGCCAACATGTCCTTGCTGTCTTTGCCAGGGCAGTGCGAGTCAGCATGGCATAGCTCAATCGCTGTGGCAACAGTTCTCAGTGCTGAGGGTTTGCCAGGATGAGCTAACAAAGCTGTGGATTGTAGACTCGTTTTCCTCCAATCAGAGGTTGCGGTGCCAGAGACATGCTCTTTTGTGGATGGGGGATGCAGACAGTGAGGCCCAGTGATTCTGCTAATCAAAGGCCTTCGAGAAAGACTGGGCTTTAGTTACGACATGTTCCTGCATTTGCACTCTTCCTTGGCACATTGCTACCTGATTTTAGGAAAATGTGATGAAGCTCATGCCAAAAAAGGTTTTCTTTTATGAAAAGTTTTTATTGTTTAGGTCATAACTCAAATGGATCTGTGGAAATGATTAAAATATTGTATTCTACATGCCAGGCCAGTAGTTGGCGGTGTCACTTAGTAAAGAATCACTATGAGTCTGTGTACATTTGTGCTGCGTCCCAATTCGCACACTATCCATCCTAAATAGTATTTGAAAATGGAATTAGTATGTCCCAATTTATGGTATGTTGAAAAGAGTATGCCAAAGGTTCCCGGATGGGAAAATTTGAAGTGTAGAAGTGTCCATACTCTATTTGCTGATATTGCCCACAATAAATTGTGCGTTGGACTTAAATTTGATAAGAGCTACAAATGTGGGTGAAAAGTGTAATAAACTACAAACATGGTGGATGCGTGAGACCAACCCTCAAGAGGCTTCTTGATGTTTGTATGACTGTTAATTAATATCTAGCCCATTGGAAATTATTTAAATCAAGATTGTGTTATTTTTCATCTGCAGGCACCAATACTAAACTTATATAAAGACGTATATGAACATTACCGTCTGAATGCGTAATTATCCAAACACCTGAGGAGATTTCTCTGCATGAAATAATCGTTAACGGAAGATTAACCTGCTTCTGGTTCTCCAATGAGGTAGGAAATTCAATATGAAAGAAATGTGGATGATGTGTAGATGACTGACAGGGCTCATAATTAAGCAACAAAACGATCTGTTAATGAAGATGTAGCATGTCCCATATACTTTTGCATACTCTTTTGTTACACTTTCAAAAATATATACCTTTTCTTCACAAAAAAGTACATACCTTTAGGGCTTAACATAAGTATACGAATTGGGACGCTGCAGTGGTCTTGTATTCTCGCTTTTTTGTTTTGGTTGTCAAGACATAATATCCATCCACATGACAAGAATATGTCTCAAAGTAGTTCACTTAGACATGGTACACTACTGTAAATGCTAAGTGGTCATGATTAGGGCCAGACAAAATCTGCAGACATTTTTTGCTATTTCTGCAGAGAATTTGCACAAGTAAATGAATAGATTCAATGATTGGCTAAAAATCTGCGGATTTCTCCGTGTGCAGATTCCATGTGGGCCTAGTCATAACTTACCGTTCAGTCAAATATGGGCAGATTTAATATTGGGTTAATTTTTTTTTCAATTAAATTTTAATTGCAACCTGTGGTTGGGTTTGTCCACATTTGACCCAATGTTGGATTACAACAACCCAGATTTTTTTAAGTGTATCATAAAAAAAAAAAAAACATTTTGAAACCCATTTTCAAAGTTTGTTTTTAGGCCCCCAAAATAAATGAACTGCCAAAACGCAAGAAATTTTTTGCTTTTTTCTTTAAAATTGGTGCAAAAAAGTAAATAATTGCAAGTTCCTTTGCTGCAATTGCAATCTATACATTCTTTCCTCAAAATTGTAACTTTGTCTCACATTTTAAGCTATAATTCTGAAAAAAAGCTTGAATTCAGAAATGAAAGATTAACATATAATTCAATTTGTCTGAAACAGCTCAGTATTGCATGATATAAACTCAGAAAATTCTGAAAATTAAAAAAAAACTTTTACAATTAAATTAACTTCTTTTAAATGTATCTAAAAACACATTGGCAATTATATCCAAAGCAATGCGCCCACATTTGATCAGTCCTTGCACTTTCCACGACTAGCACAGTGCTATACTTTGAACTACAAACAAGAAAGAATTTATGTAATATAAAGATCATTCCACTTGTCTTTAAACTTCCTTACTCTTGCAGTCCTACCTCTCCCACAATGTTTCTAAAAAAAACGAAAGCATTCAAAAACAACTTTCATTGGATGTCCTAATTAAACTTGACTGATCGCTCTATTTGTGATATGTGTCAATCGGCCACCCACAAACAAAACACGTTGAAAAGTAAAACTGACAACAGCGCACACTTTTTCTTGTCTTCTCCTTTGGAAAGTTTTCCCTCAACATGCACAGACGAAAAAGTCATGATGTTGTCTTACCTGCCAAGGAAAAGATGAAAAGCCACAGGAGAAGAAAGAGTGAAGGAATGGCTGTCTCTTTGCATGATGCCTCCCGCTCTGCCTTCATCTTGAGAGCAGCGCTGGGTTTCTCTCCCACACAATCAGCATGATTTGTCCACTCAGGGCACGTCTCTGAGAATGCAGACGGGACAGTGGCGGCTCTGAACCCCGCTCTCAGGACCCCAGCCTGAACAACAGCCCTATGTGCGATCATGTGTGTGTGTGCTTTGCTGGCTTTATAAGGTTCTCTCCACAGTGATTATTTTCAGGGCCCCTTTGTGTGTGGGCATTTGTGCATGTGTGTGCTGGTCTCCTCAGTAAAGGCACTGGGATGTGTCAGATGGTTGTTTTGTAGTTATAGCCGTTGCATGGCAGATCTGACTTGTCACACTTGACAAAATTATGTGTTAGAACATATTTATGTGACAAAATACACCAACAGTGTTGATTAAAAGAAAAACCCCGAAATACATTGTGTGAAAATGACTAAAACTGGTGCACTAGAGGATTTCAAATTCTGGGGACCCCAGGTGGCCAGGAGGACAAGTGTAAACGTCAACAGAGAATATCAGAGAATAAACATCTCTCTGTCTGTCTATATGTTTCCATTAAATTGCTTGATAAATAATAGATGGACAAAGGGATGGATAGATGAGTGAGTTAGTGAGTGGATAAAGTAATTGGATGAATGAATAGACGTACAGACATGGAAAGGCAAAGATTTAGGTGGATGAATGGATGAGTCAAGGGTTGGGTAGACAGAAAGATGGCAATAGATAAATGAATGAATGAGTTAGTGAGTGGGTGGTTGAATGGACAGATGGACGAATGGATGGACGGACAGAAGGACGAACGGATGGATTGATAGTTGGATGGATGAATGGACAGACATGGAAGGGCAGAGGTTTGGGTCGATAGATGGATGTATAAATATATTTGATGGATGGATGAGTCAAGGGTTGGGCGGAGAGATAGATGAATATACATACGGACAAATGAATGGATGAGTAAAAGTTAGATGGACGGATGGATGAATGGATAGACGAATGGATGGATGGACAGTTGGTTGGATTGATGAACAGACATGGAAGGGCTGAGTTTTGGGTGGATAGACAGGTACACAAACATATTTGATGAATCGAGGACAGACATGGAAGAGCAAAGTTTTGGGTGGATAAATGGCTGTACAAACATATTTGATGGATGGATGAGTCAAGGGTTGGGTGGACAGAAAGATGGATGGACAGAGGGAGAAATGAATGGATCAGTAATTGAAATGGATGGATACATGGATGGACAGACAGACAGTTGGATAGATAGATGGATGGATAGATTGATGGATGGAAGGATGAAAGGACAGACATGAAAAGGCAGAGGTTTGGGTGGAGGGGGAGATGTACAAACATACTTGATGGATGAATGATTAAGGGTTGGATGGACAGAAAGATGGATGGACAGAGGGATAAATGAATGGATAAGTAATTGAGATGGATGGATAGATGGATGGATGGACAGACAAACAGTTGGAGGGATGGATGGATGGGTGAATGAATAGACAAACATGAAAAGGCAGAGGTTTGGGTGGATGGACGGATGTACAAAACTATTTGATGGATGGATGAGTCAAGATTTGGGTGGACAGAAAGATGGATGGTCACTGGGTTAAATTAATGGATAAGTAAGTGAGTTAGTTGGATGAATTGACAGACGGATGGACAGTTGGTTGGTTGGATGGATGGACAGACATGGAAGAGCAGAGTCTTGGGTGGATAGATAGACGTACAAACATATTTGATGGATGGATGATTCAAGGGTTGGGTGGGCAGAAAGATGAATGGACAGAGGGATAAATGAATGGATGAATAAGTAAGTTGGATGGATGGATGAACAGTTGGTTGGTTTGATGGACAGACATGGAAGGGCAGAGTTTTGGGTTGGATAGATGGACGTGCAAAATTCACCTGCAGCGCATGTCTTTGGACTGTGGGGGAAACCGGAGCACCCAGAGGAAAGCCACACCAACACCGGGAGAACATGCAAAGAGTGCTAACCACTGAGCCACCATGCCGTCCCATTAGGAAAACAAAAAAAGTATTACAGTTTGTCCTAAATTGTTAACTTTAGGGCAAACCGATGGCTGTCCTATAAGTAATTTAGAAAATGCTTACAATTGCTCTACACTGAGGGTTAAAGGAGGTTATTTCTACTATAAGTATGTTTTACATAATGTGAACAATAGAAGAATGTTTTTACTTTACTGTTACTCAAAACCAAGTCTAACTGAATGTACTGTACACGCTTCTACTGAAAAACATCTCTCAACTCCACCTCCTCCACTCAGCCTCTCCCACATTTGCATATTTCACACCCCATTTATAATTGATCCATCAGGCTATAAAGGAGGAAAAGGGACCTACAGCTTGCTAAGGCATCAGTCTTCACTTCTGTAAAAAGGCCCTTTGTGCACTGTAGTTGAATCATTTATTCATCAAGATACATTTATTAATCTATGTTTTTTAAATAATATGTTGTTTGTAATTCATTATAAATGTAGTTATGATAAATATGTATATACTTTTTGCAATAAATTTAAGGTTTAACTTATTTACATATAGGCGACATTTATTTCCACTGCTGAAAAGCTATTATGCGCCAGGAATTGTCGCCAAGCTGTCACATGTCTGTCTGGGCGCTGATGTCATTGTCCTGCACTGGTCAACTGATTTAGTCTTTTCACAGACAGAGAGAAATATTTACTGTGAGTGTTGCAAACAAACTAGGTTGCAATAATAAACTGCCTTTTCTTTTTCTTTGTCAATAATTGGGCACTTTTGGTTGCTGAAGTCACTTAGGAACTGAAAGCAAGCTAAAAAAAACAGAAAAGTACCATCCAAAAGACAAAAACACATCAAGAATCATCAAGAATGGTGACTATATTAAAGTCCACATTAACATATTATTTTTTTATGATGGTTAGTAGTTTAACCGAATAATTCATGGCAGTTATAAGCAACAGTGATGCTGGTATTAAACACAACTACTTGTTTAAAACACAATGAACACAATTTTATATGCTGTAAAAACAACAGTTGGCAAATTAGACAAGCGTACCTGATGATGCAAATCAAGTATTGTATCAGACTCTGAAATATAGGCTCCCACTCAGTAAAAAGAGTAGATTATGAATGCAAAATGGCAAAGAGTTTGAGAAAGAAGAAGCTTTTGAGTGAACATACAGTGAGTTATCCTCAAGGGTCTCCTCTGTTCTGGATGATCAAAGCTGTAGTAAGGCTTCAAGACACAAGCATACTCACACAAAGCTCGGCATTAGCTTTTGTCCTTCGGAGGATAAAAGTCCCCCCAGACTCTCTCATCTTGTGAAGAAATCTGTCAAGTAGAGTCAGCGAGAACATCCAGGGTCAATAGTGCACTGAAAGCATGAAAGACTCTCACACACGTCTACACTGGAGAACATACTCCATTTATATCTCTGTACATTCACTAAATCTGATGAGTACTTTAATAAGATTTCACAAATCATGAGAACATGCCATTAGTAATGAACTATTTACTTTAAATGTTTGCTCAATAGAGTGTGGCTGCTTCAACTATTGTTTTTAAAATATATGCATAATATTTGGAAACTGTGGAGCCTGTGGGAATATGGTGATAAGATCGCTTGGAATATATTTTTGTGTTCTCTTGCCAAAATGTTGAGTTCCACTGAAAAAGTAAAACTCCAACTATCATCTTTTTTATTAATAACATGTTAGAATTTATTTATATTTTTTTATATTTATATTTTAAATTAGAAATCATTTTAAAGTTAGAATTTGTAATTTACTTTTAAAAATGTTAATTTTTACAAACAAAATGTTTGCAATGTGCAATTTTAAACTTATACAATTTGTAATATACTTTATATTACATAGATATCATAAAATTAAGTAGTATTGTAATATTACATAGATATCATAGTATTAAGTAATACTTTATGAAGCTTTTTTAAATTTGTATGTTGTATATATATAATTGTATTCATTATAATTTTAGTTAATTGTTTAGTTATTTCTTTATATATTTCCCAGTTTGTTTTCATTTGTTATATAATAATATTTTGTGATTATAATGAAAGTGTATAATCGCATTTAATATACGCATTTAATATACACAAAGTGTATAATCGCATTTAATATACACAGCCTTGCCTTGCATGTCTTGCATTTAATATACACTAATCAACATTTAAAGTGGATCATCACCTTTCTTCAAAGTTGTCCTAAAACTACCCTGAAACCCTAATTTTTGTCTTAGGACAATTTAAAAAAACATTTTTGATCCACTTCAAGTGTTGACTACTGTATATCTAATCTAATATTATCTGGTTAAATGTAGTTCCATTTTGTTTACGTGTGTATTAAATTTAGATTAGTTTAACATTTAATTCATAGTAAGTTTTTTTTCATCTGCAGAACACATTAATGCACATTCACAAAATTAATGTAATAGCACCGTCTGATAAATAAGTTAAGTTTTTATATTCTATGCTACAGGCTCCCTCTACTGGAGGTTTCATGCAATACGACTATGAAATACAAGCTGCAATTAAAGATTTAGTTCACTCAAAAAATGAGAATGTAGGCCACTCACTCGGTGCGTTCCAAGCAGAATATACTGCATTCAGAGTGAAAACAATCATGGCTGCCATACTGGCATAGTGTTGTTCCAAACTGAAGAGCTTAAATCTGGATACTTTGAAGGGCCCTTTGGAAGGAAGGATGTATATCAGCATTCAAAACCAAACTGTCTAATGATCAACAACAACATTCAGTTGAACCTTTGTTATGCGGTGCTGTTCTTTACCTTTATTCCATCTCTTCCTAGCACTTCAATCAGAGCCAGTTTGAACAGCACTCAGGTGAAGACACACTCCTCCATCTGCTGACACAAAACCATGTCTATATAGAAATAGCCTACACTTTATATATAGCATCAACTATTATCACTGCATATGAATAAAATAATAGAAATTTTAAACTGTGAATTAGTTTTAAATTATGATTTTTGGTTTCATATAATGTTGGAAATGTTCATTTTAGTCTGATCTGAGGTCAGCAGTTAAAGACTCATTCTTCAGTCATTTAGAAACAATCATAGCTGGTCAAAGTTTGTGCATATGATTACAGTAAATGCATTTTTTTTTTTTATTGAACACAGGCTCATTCTAAAAACGTAGCCCTATATACATTACAGCAGATCGCAAATTATGTAGCCAGAAGTAGGTATGGCTGCATTTCATTTTTAAAATGCAATTGGGAAAGTGCAACGCCTTTCCTTTTCACGCTTGCCAGCTGACCGCTTACCTCTGTATGGACAGCTTTCCCACTGTTACCAGTGTCCTGTTAGCTTGCCATGAACGTTAGCGGACTTGAGATGCAGAGAGGAGTTGACTGTGAAGACGGGGTTTGAGTCCATTGAAGAACGGTTTCAGAAAGCAGCTAAGACAAAAACAGAAGCCAAAAAGTAAATTAAACAAGTAAATAACAGGGTGAGAATGTGGCAAAATCTGAAGAAATGGTCAAAATCAGGCAAGGCCTTTTCTTTTTCTGGATTGCTTTTGAAAACTTTTGGTTGAGTTTAGAGAGAAGGGTGGCAGGTCAGTCAATACAATTCAGGTCAGTCGATTGGTCAGTCAGTCAGTGCTTAATTTGTAAATTGCGAGGTCCCAAAATGTTGTCTGGTACTGTTGCGGACGAAAGTGAAGAGAGGGGGGGATTGTCACGGACGAAAGTGAAGAGCGGATCGATAAATGTGAAGAGCGGATCGATAAAATGAGGTGCCGGATCGGATTTCAGAGATGCCGGATCCTAATCTAGTTTGTTTTGGCACAAATTAAGCCATGCAGTCAGTCGACAGCGGCCTCTGCTGAATTTCTGTGAGAACAGCAGGCATGAATGGCACTCTCTGAATAATAAAGGGACTAAGCCAAAAAGAAAATGAATGAATTAATGAATTAATTAATTAACTTTGAAAGCAGCAAATTTTAGTATTTTGTTGCTGTAAAATTATTGCTGTAAATTAAAGGTAAACACAAAATCAAGTAACTTTGGCAAACCATGACAGGTGCAATGATATTACGCAGTGGCTGAAAATCAGCTAACGTTAGTGTCTTCCAGATCGAATAGATACAGTTCAGGATCTGCACGTTGATGACAAAGTTCTTTTAATATTATAACATAGTGGGACTATAATTCCAAGCCATATCAGCCTAGAAAATAGCAACTTTTCATTTTCTGTCGGTCTTAGTACATGATGTAACTATAGAAAATAGCAACTGAATACACAAATAATCCCTGAGCTATTTGTTTTGGTCTCATTCCTCCATAAATCCAGAGAAAACATTTATACTATTTGTGAAAACTGTGTTTACTAAATAATATTAGGACAATTATTTAAATAAGAGCCATTTTGTGTAAAAACTAAACTTAACAGAAAACTTTATTGTCCGTGACAGGATATTTGTTATGGTGATGCCCAAAACAAATTTCCTGTCAAGGACAATAAAGTTTACTACTACTACTACAAGGAACGTGTTACTAAAAACAATCTCGTTATGGTATTACCACTTTATTGACTTAAAAATACACAGTGCATTGCTTTATTTTATATGGGAGAGAGCGGGGCACAAAATAACACTTTTTGGTTGTGGCCAAATAATGAACAAAGTAATGGGGTAAGACAAACTCATTTTTTTTACCAACAACACACAAGCCTCTCCTACAAATGAGCACTGGTTTGATCGCTGGACCTATGGTTTCTGTGCAGTGTTGCCAGTATTGTGCAGTTTCTCCTGCGTTTCTCATCTAATTTTGCCGAACTTTTTTAATAATTGGCAGAAAAACCTCTGCTGATACAGTGGTGAAAACCTCGGAAGTTCATTCATTCATTTTCTTTTCGGCTTAGTCCCTTTATTAATCTGGGGTCACCATAGCGGAATGAACCGCCAACTTATCCAGCATATGTTTTACGCAGCGGATGCCCTTCCAGCTGCAACCCATCTCTGGGAAACATCCATACACACTCATACACTATGGACAATTTAGCCTACCCAATTCATCTATACCGCATATATTTGGACTGTGGGGGAAGCCAAAGAACCCGGAGGAAACCCACGCAAACGCAGGGAGAACATGCAAACTCCACACAGAAATGCCAACTGACCCTGCCAAGGCTCGAACCAGCAAACTTCTTGCTGTGAGGCGACAGCACTACCAACTGCGCCACTGCGTCGCCCAACCTCGGAAGTATGACATGGTTAACCCTGACTAAATACCTTACAACCCTGTGTTACATACTCCATGTTACTTTGTGCCACTATGTACAGATTAAAAATGTTTTGAGAAAACACAATACGTAACACTTTACAATAGTACTATAACTGTATTATTGTGTTAATGAATTATTTAATCATAAATAAAATGATTGTGACTTGATTTCAACGTGTTATAAGGCATTAACTAAGAAATCATCATTAGCTATGATTAAACCCTGTTTAACTTTGTCAACACATTATGACTTTAGGTAAATTAAATTATGTTAAAAAACTGCATTATGAACAAAGGAAAACAACCAATATAGCCTAACTAGTCAGAATTTTAATGCAGTGTCTATGGCAGAGTCTGCATAGAGTTGTGTTGCTGTTTTTTAAAGTTTGTTGTTTTTCGAACGTTATAAATTGTACATAACCTTACATAAAGTGGAGCCATTTGCGTCGATTGCACACAAATAAACTCGACATGGCGATAGTTGTGAATCAGAAGTTGGTGTGGAGATTTCCTCCTCGGTCTTTTAACTACTGGTGGTACACGGACGGCTGGTACGTGTGGGCCAAGGCGGATAAGATGCTGGCCCAGTACCAGCCCAAGAAGGTATCGTTTGCAGACGAGTCTTGCTTAAACCAACACGAAGAGGAGCTGTATGCGTTGCAAACATCGCTGTCGCCGCCGCAGAGGTCAGTACATCGCTACAGTGACCCATACAGCCCGTCAGAGCGGCCGTCTGAGCCCTTCACCTGGCGAGACCAAGTCAAAGCCAGGCAGAAGACGCACGTGCGGTCCAGGAGGAAGATAGCCTGCTCGTGGCTTGCCCGGGTTGCGCGGTTCTTTCTTAAGCCATTTAGAAAAACACGCGCGGAGAGTCCCGACAGCGACCGCGGCCCGGAGGAGCAGGAGACCTGCGCAGCTTCACAGGCAACCCCGAGACCGGCGCGCAAGCACGTGCAGTGGCCGGACACCGACCGGTCCTGCTTTCACTACAGGCCAAAGTTTACAGGGAGCCTGCGCGAGCGTTTCCGCTGGAGGGAGAATCGGAAGCTCAATCAAGAGGAAAATATACACATGAGGGCAGGGATTTTCTTCCCCCGCGGCCCTGGGCTCATCAGCCGGACTTTCACAAGCCTTAAGATCAGTGTCCTGACCAGTCTTCACCTCTACCCTCCGCCCGCGTCGCGCATGAAGAGCTGCCTGAAGACCCGCACAGATGAAGCCTCCAGCAGCAGCGCGACCGCCGGGGCGAGGTTCATCTCCACCCTTGAAGTGCAGCTCAACTGAGCATGCCAAAAGGTAAGGGGCAGACGTGTCGAACGGCTATCAATTGTTTAAAGTTACCTATTTCGTTAACAGCCATCTTAATTATTTTTGTTAATTTTAAATTTATATCAAATATGACTTACTTTAAATGTAATTAATAGATGAAATTTTATCTATATTGAAGATGGCTCCTACAGATTTTATATTTACGCCCAGGATTTGGCGTGGCAAAATGTACATCTTTTTACTGCTGCTACTGCTCAAAGACCATAATAAATAAATCCAAAAAGTGAATTTAAGCCTACTTAAGTTAAAGGAATAGTTCCCCCCAAAGTTTTTCACCGTCAAGTTTTTCCAAACTTTTATGAGTTTCTTTCTTCTGTTGAACACAAAAAAAAGATATTTTGAAGAAAGCTGGAAACCTGTAATCATTGACTTCCATAGGTTTTTTTATTACGGAAGTTGATGGTTACAGGTTTCAAAATTTCTTATAAATATAACCTTTTCTGGGGAAAATAATCAGATCTTTTGTTCATTAATTACAATAAATTATCATAGTCACTTATATTTGCACCTCCTCTTATTGCTTCATTCACTCAGGATAAAGTTGCAGACAGTTCAACCATGCCTTCTCACAAAAGCGAAGATGAAAAGAAAAAGGAAGCATTTTAAACTTCCTTGCAGCTGAAGCAGCCATAGAGAAAGAAATAAAAAAACTGCCGTTAAAAGACTTGAATGTTTTCTTTCTTTCTTTGAAAAACTTGTCATTTGTAAATTTAGAAAGGAATTGGTGTGTTCTATTGGTTGTATTAGGTTTAATTTCACATTACATTCAATCACACTATTGCTGTCTCACAGGCAAGGTGCCAGAAATTAATGTTTACTTTTTCTTTTTAAAGACCTTAATATCTAAATTTAACTGTTAATTTGTCTGTGAAGCAAATGCAGACTAATAAATACTAAATGAATGCATCATCTAATTATTATAAAAATAACTCACAGCTGTGCAAGTATTTTATAATGTTGAGGTATGCACTTTCAATAGGCAGTTCGTTTTATAAAAACATAGTAGGGGAGAGCGGGGCACAAAGAAACACTTTTTGGTTTTGGCCAAATAATGAACAAAGTAATGGGGTCAGACAAACCATTTGTTTTTTTTACCAACAACACACAAGCCTCTCCTACAAATGCACTGGATGAATGATCACCGGGCCTATGGTTTCTGTGCATTATTGCCAACAGTGCCAGGAGTAAAAATGTTACAATTTACACCTCCAGTGAGGGCAAGTTGTAACAGACATAGGCTTAGTTATAACACATGCTTACAAAGGCAGATTTCACACAGCTAATTTAATTTCTGTTTACTTAAAATAGTAAACAGAATTTAAAGTATATAAATATACTTTATATGCTAAAGCTATATAGACTTAGCTTAATTTATTTTTTATTCTACATAGCACATTTATTTATTTATTTATTTATTTATTTATTTATTTATTTATTTATTTATTTATTTATTTATTTATATCCACTGAATAAACACATTTGAATTTATTTGCATTATTATCCATTTATCCATTATTATACAGTTTATTTATTTACATTATTAACAATAAAACAGTTTTTTCTATAAAAAAAACTCTATCAAACCTCTTCAGCTGCTCCAGAACGCAGCAGCATGAGTGGTCTTTAATGAACCTAAAAGAGCACATGTCACTCTGCTGCTCATCCGTTTGCAGTGGCTGCCAGTTGCTGCTCGCATCAAATTCAAAGCTCTGATGTTTGCCTACAAAGTGACTTATGGCTTTGCTCCTTCTTATCTGCTCTCACTTCTGCAGATCTATGTGCCCTCCAGAAACTTGCATTCTGTGAATGAACATCGCCTCGTGGTTCTATCCCAAAGAGGGAAGAAATCACTTTCCCGAACGCTCACGCTCAATCTGCCCAGTTGGTGGAATAAACTCCCTAACTGCATCAGAACGGCAGAGACACTCGCTGTTTTCAAGAAACGACTAAAAACTCAACTATTTAGTCTACACTTCACTTCCTAATCTGCAATTGCCTGTCTGGATATACCACTAACTGTACTCAAAAAAAAAAATAAATTACTAATGCTTTCCTTCTTAGACTTTACAGACCTGAAACTTGCCTACCGCACTTATTCATTGTTGCTCTTATAGTTCTGTAAATTGCTTCCTTGTCCTCATTTGTAAGTCGCTTTGGATAAAAGCGTCTGCAAAATGACTAAATGTAAATGTAAATGTTACCAAGATCAGCAAGTATGCTGCTACTAAGTTTTAATAGTTTTGATGGACAGAGTGTATACAGGAATCAGAGAGTGAAATTCAATACTTTTTAGAACCCTTTTAAGACTTTTTTCATACATTGTAAGACCTTTAAACCACTTTAAGTTTCAACCGGAAACCTTTTTCTTCTTTGCTGCATATAGGACGCTATTGCAAAGTCCCTTTAAGGCAAGTCATTTCACTCAGTGGCCATCTTTGAAAGGCCTCTTAGGCAGTATGCTCGGGCATTATGTCTGAATTGGGAAACATCAAGTTCTCCAAAACTGCCTGTCAAGCTTACTATTGAATTTTATTTTGGGAATCACAAATAAAATTAAACAACAACTGTTTCTTTAGTTTCATTTCTAAACATCCAAGTTAAAATCATAGAGCAGTATCTGGCAGAGAATCGCTGACCCACCACATTCTTATTAACATATTTTATTTAATAAATTTATTATTTTATTGACTTAGATATAACCACGTATAATAAAAATTACTAATCCGTCATCTAAAATCTTAAAATAATAAAATAGCCTATTTTTTCTTCGTGGCTAGAGCTTGATTAATTTGATTGACATCCTAGACAATGAGACCTTTACTTCGCCTGACTGAGTGTGAGTTTATTGCATGCACAGCTGTATTTGGTAGCTCATAGCCTACTTTACCAAAAGCTACAGAACATGCACGACTGAAAGACTTTTTTTCTGCTGCACATCGAATAAAGACACTCTTACCATCATCGATGTCCACAATCCTATACATCCTATATCCATAAAACACGAACTTGCAGACTCTTTGGACAACGAGTAAATAACCACTTTAGTCAAGCCAGACAGCTTGTTTTGTAACTTAATGCCCGCTATAGCACCTGAAGGACATTATGGCGTGTTGTGATGTTGGCCGTCACCAGAGAAAGTCAAATCTTACTTTACTTTTTTGGACTTTTGTTTGAAAGCTTTAGTGGCACTGTAGCTGTCCAAAGTACTGTTGTATGATTTAAATTATGGCCTTTATATGCACCAATTAACAAGTCAAATGAATTAATAAATAAAATAAATACGGATTCTTAAATATCGCTATTGTTTTTACTCAAAAATATATAGCGACCAGCGCTTCTGGTAGGCTGCTTAGAACTTCCGTTAAGAATTGTCATCTGCCAGAGCAGCGTTTTTCAACTGGGTGTCAATTCTGTTTTCAGTGGCTTACGGAGTGTTTTTTACTAGCAAGAATATATAAACGCACATTATAATCTCATCTATTAAAATATCAGTAGAGTACATGCAACAACACATTTCTATGCCACTTGTATGTTTCTTTTAATGCTTGTACAACATATTGTATTTTTTGTTTGTTTATTTATGACTGCCATGAGTGAGGACCTTTTCAGTTTGTGTATGAATGATGATGCAGTGACAATTATCTGTGTGCACAAATGGACAGGTTGTGAGTGTATTTTACAGATCTTCCGTTAATAAATGGATTTACATAAAATACAATCTTTATGCATTTCTGTTATTATGCAAAAAGGCACGTTTAAGAATATTATTTAATCTTTTTAAGGGGCAATGTATGACTTCATTAGTATTAATATATTAATATTTATAATGTATAATTTGACTCTACACTGTAAAAAATGCAGGGTTTCACACAATTCATTCATGTTGTACAAACACAAATTGATTAAGTTAACTTAACACTTTTAACAAATTTATGTGGATTGAACCTACAAAATTAAGTTGTCCCAATGAAATCTCAAGAATTGTGTTTGTTTCAGATTATTTTAAATAAGTAGTTTGAACAAGTAAAAATTATGTATTTTTGAGTGTATTACAAACATAATAGATGGTTTATAATGGAAATTACATTGGTTTTAATGATCTCCATGTCTTTCCTGATAAAGTGTTGTAATGTACAGACCAATGCATTATGGTGAATTGGTGGGGAATTACCTGCCAGAACTCCACCATATTGAAATAAGACCAAGAAGTTAAGTCATTTTCTCATAATTGAAATCTTATTACCAATAGAATCTATTACAATTGCTTTGACACATTAGAGTCAGAATGGTAACACCATTAATGAACAGCAGAACATGGAAGATTTTAAGCTGAGACCACAGTATTCTGTGATTCGTGTAATTCACATTGATGGGTGTCCTAGAGAAAGCATATTAAAGGAAGACAGATTTAATATTTTCGGTTCTGGTGTCCTGTGAGGTGAAACTACTTGCCGGTGCAAGAAATGAGCTTTGCTTGCGGGCTGCAGCATTATTACCTTTATAATCCACAGTCTTTGTAGAGAGTAAATGAGCCTTTTTTTGTTGTTTTTGCAAAGTGAATTACTTAGACTGTTTTTTTTCAGCCGTGTACAGTTTGAGTTCACTTAAGAGCTCCTGTCTATTTAAAAAAAAATACGTTACATACATTCTAAATCTACATTACAAAATACATTCTAAATAAGCAAAGACATATATGTGACAGAAAAAATAGGATAGTATTTATCACACTTTTACATGTTTATTTCCCCTTTAAAAGATTTTTAAAGCAGACATCAAATGAGTACCATATACTTACGGCAGTGGTGATATGCTACATTAAGATGGCGCCAACAATGGCTGCCAGCGTGGTGTGCTCCAGAGCTGATTTTGTTTGTTTGTCCAATCTTTAGTTATGAATACTCTAGTTTCAACAGAAAAAACAAACCCAAAATACAAAGTTATGCTGTTAATTTACTCACCTTCAGGACATTCTTCAGTAGAACAGCAATCTTTTCACAACTCCCCTACACTGTAAAAAAGAAATCTTACGGTAAAAAACTGACAGCTGTGGTTTCCAGTATTTTACCATTGAAATTACAGTACAAACCGTAAAATGAATTCTTAATTTTAACAGTAAACTACTAAATTTCATTAATTTATAGATTTAATATGCCTGCATTTTGAATTACCAACATCTACACATCTTTTGTTACACAGATAGACACGTTAACACAGCCATATGCAGGTGGCGATGTGAGAGTTAAATAATGAACCAATGCTCATTACAAACCACTTTACCCACAAGCAGAAAAGTGTATCAGTGTAGAAGGTGCTCAGTGTTATACACACAGCTTCTAACATGCATAAAATAAAGTCATGAAATAAACATTGTTTATCAACATTAGATATAATCGAAATCTCTAATGTACATAACTAATGGGTAAACAAATAAAAGATCCATATTAAAGTCAACAAAAAGCATAAAACGTTATGTGCCATGGCATGCAGGGAATTAAGGGGAAGTCAGTTTATGGTTATTTGCTGTATATATTAAGGAAACACACTGTTAACCAGGTTACGGATTTTCACAGTTGAAATCA